TTATGCTTGTTGTTCTCCCTTCAGTCTACTTGGTAAGAAAGATCAAGATAAAAATATCCCTATTGCAATAAAATGTATCCAGTGAACTCAGACATTTTTCTCCTTTAGGTCACTCTCTGACTGCTCCTAGTTTATTTTTTTGCCTTTTTCAAGTACTTTATGTACTATCTTCTTTTTACCTAGACTGGCATTAATATGACTCATCCAATTGTTGGAATGAGTAAAAAAAAAACAAACCCGAAAAAGTCTCAGTTTATATACAGATTTCTGGGAATATAGACAGATATCTGCACATTACCAGGAAAGTTGCTCAGCTCTGCTTCTGTTCTTCCTGGGTTCCCTGCTTGCCCTGTTGCTGAGGAGAGAAACCAGTACCTGTCCTATCACTGATTTGCTGTAGTGGTGGTGAAGTAGTCACTCAAGTTAAAGCTCTCTCATTCCAGCTTGAAAATTGATAATGTTGTGTTGGTTTGGGTTTTTTGGGTGCCAAAATCAAACATAAACTTCTGTCTCCAGCATTAGTGATTTTCTATTTTTTTTTATCCAGTCTGAAGACTCATACCAAGAAAAAAACTTTCCTGTCAAAGTTTCATGATATGAATCAACACTAGTAGTCTGTAGTTGTGCAGATCAGAGGTTGAAAGCTGTTTTAATAAAAACTAATAATGTCTTTCAGTTTGACACAGTTCAAATTTGTGCTGTATTTCAGACCATCAGCATCCACTTCAGGGGCCCATAAAGCTGAAGAGGATCCTTGGGCCTCTTCATTCAGAGGTGTATAAATGTAAACAAAACCTGAAAGAACTGTGTATTACACATGTAAAAATTCCTTTGGTATCCTAGATTGACACTTGCTACTGCTGGATGTGAAACAATTTATAGTGAGAGAGAGATTTTTAGGGTAGACATAATTGCATGTAATTGTCATCTCCTGAAGAAATGGAGCTGGAAGGGTTACTGCTTCCTCACTTGCTTTCCAGCAGAACTCTGTGTGTGCTGTAAATTCAGTTAATTTTGTCTTGTAATTTTAAAGAGTTATCTCTAGGATGCTTTTAGGATTTCATGTCTCTCCAAGATATTGCAGTATTGGTGATTTGTCTGCTTGATAATTTAGCTCTCAAAAGTGGAGAATTGTTATCAGCATCTCTTGCAGTGTCATAATCTGTTGAAATGTACACTTTCAGATAATTATTAAGAGGTAGAAATTACTTTATTTAGATAGCTGTAGGTAATCTTTGAAATAAGCGTATGTATGGAAAATGAGTTTCAGTATCAGAAATGAACTATGATGTGTGGTGTTCCCTAAAAGGTAAATCAGGTGTGTATTGTCTGAGTTGTGTTTGCAGGTTTGAGAAAAAGCCTGATTTCTGTCTGTGGCCAAAGATGGCCTGGCTCTCCAGTGTACACTTTGGTTTTCAAAAAGGCCAGACATTGTTCTGAAGCCTCTGAAACTGCATGTGTGAAGTGTCCTCAGAGGACAGTGTCCTCAGGGAGTCAATAAACCTGTTTATTCATCTTCTTCTCACCTAGATGAGAAAGTTGTGATATGAAGTGTGAGTTTTTTAAAAATACACTGATGATTTATTTCTGTAAAGGCGAGCAGTTCTGTCTCGTGCTGATGAGCGTTGATTTGTTGTTCCCACAAGATGGAGCTGTTTACGTATGGAATTAATATGGAATTTATACTACTAGTGCATTTTAGGGAGGTCTGACAAAGTACTGGTTTAAATCACAGGTCACAATTTTATTAGTATCCTTACAGAAAAGGGTACAATGTACAAGACAAAATAGTAACTATTATTTTAAGAAGGTAGGGTAATCTTGTGATTAAGGTATTGGGAGGTGCACAGTATTGCCTTCTTCCCCCTTATTTTGAACATTTATTCCCTGTATTATTTTCAATTAAATATTGTGTTACTACCCCTGAGATTAAAAACCAGTACTTTATTATAATTAAATTTAAGCATAAGCGGCCTTAATATTGAGGAAAACATGATCAGCACATATATTATAACAGTGGAAACTGTGTTGCCTGTGCTACATTGTATGTACTTCCAGAACTTCTGGCTGTGCTTTCTGGAATTTTTTGATAACATTTTAAAGAGAAATCTTCTGATTGCAGAGGATTTCCTTTTGTCAGTATTGTGAGAATATGTCTGAAAGTCTTGGCACAGATGTGAAATGGATAAAAAGTTATCAAGGCAGCGATTGGATACCCCCAAATCATCAGGCAGTAGCTAAGTCCAAAACCACAGTGCATTGCTACCATTAAAGAAAGTTTGGTGGTTCCTCTTGTACCATCTTTTTGTAGTCTCATTCTCATTTTAATTATATTTTCTTTACTGAGTTTTACTGCTGCTTTCATTTATGCTTACATGACACAATTTACAGTTTGGGCACATAGTGATAGATACAAGTCCCCTGTCTTTGTGATAATGATGCTTCTTTCTCACTTCTTTTTGAGAACACTGGAAGGAGACCTAAATTTGGAGGCTTCTTCCACCCTTAAACAAAAGGCTAAAGAAGCAGTAATAATTTGAATTTCTTTTTCTTTGAAGGTTTTTTGTTTTGGTTAGTTTTGTTTTTTTGTTTAGCATACAGTGCAGTATAGGTAGTGAGTCCAGCCCAATTTGAGGAGGCTAATGCTTGCCAGATATCTGTGAAGATACTTTGATCTCTGGTCCTCCTGATCTTTTTTTCTTCTCTGAGAGCTCTGAAGACAGTTGGATGCCCCTCTGTAGCTTCCACCCTGTAGCTTCCAGCATCTCTGACCCTTTTCTTAATGGAACAGCACTCACATAGCTGTAATGGGTATTTTGGAGTGCTAGCACATCAGTCATTGAACCTTTTTCTCATCCCTTCCCCATTTCTGTCCAGGTGACAGTGCTATGGCCCACGTGCTTGTCCCTGTGTATTCTCATGCAGAGCATCAGGCTGCCTGAGGAAGCCTCACTCAGTGCCCACTGTGTCTTGTACCTTTCTTTCCTCCCAGGCCAGGATGCTGCTTCTCCCTCCAGCCAGCACTGAGTTCTGCATGTGGGTATTTCCCCCTGCTGATGCAGGTCACTTTTGACCATCCACCAGAGCCCTTTAAAGCTCATCCTGGGCAGCCTTGAGGGAGCCCTTTCAGGCAGTCTGGCAGGAGCCTCAGGAGGAGACACTTCTGGGCACACATTTGCTCCTTCCAGCTGTCATTTCAAACTGTGGTGGTAGAAACAGTGAAGGATAAACTTGATGGGTGAACAATCTTATTTTGCCTCTGGTGCACTTTGGAAGAAAGAGCCTGCTTTCAGTACCATAGCCTTATTTTCCCATCATAAGGGGGTATTCTTGGAAAATTTTATTTGGTAGATTTTTCCCCTGAATAAGCATCTATAACAAGCAGAGTATAAGGAATTGACTTTCTTCCTTCGACATGTAGGATAGCATATTGCCTTTCTTCTGTCACTTCAGTTGCTTCTCTGAATATATTGTGCAAGGTCAAAAGGAACTCAGAAAGTATAAAGAATCTTATAACAGGAGTCTTTTCAATCTCTTCTGCACCTTTTCTACTTTGAAAGGTTGTGTTCCTGTCAGACATTCAGCTATAGGTTTGTTGTGCTGATGATGAGCTCAGATCTCAGCAAAGTCCAGATGTCTGGTTAGAAAAGAGAATCTTGAAGAATATGGGCAACCACACTTCTCCAAGAAGACTAGGAGGGAAGTAGTTTCTTACTACTTAAGGGTTTTAGAGGCTTTGATTCATGGTTGCCTGGGTCTTGAACTTAAGACTGTACTTCTGCAAGTAACATTGAAACACTTGGAATTTCAGCCTTTTCTTTTCCTCATGTGAATATTTTTGAATTTTTATTTTTTTCTTCATCAACTTCTCCTTGTAAATATCTGGAGAAGACTTTATAATTTTGAAAGGAAATTAGAGGCTAAAAAAGCAATTTAAAGATTTTTAATAACTTTTTTTTAACACTTGTAGTTTGCAGTACAAATGTGTTTGTATTTGTATGATTAAATCCTGATCATATTTCTGCTCTCATTCTATGTGAAAAGCTACTTCAAAACTACCAGTCTTTGCTGTTGTTGCTGTGTCAAATTATTAATCAATTTTTGGAACTGTCTATACCTAGCCTTTGTTGGGAGACTCCATACCTTTGATTTTGGTACAGTTCTATATAAAGCCTCTTCTCTTGGTTACTCTGCCAAAATCTAAAGCCTTAAATTTCCCTCTGCCTCCTTTGCCTCTTCTCATGCTCGAGCATTTTTCCATGCAGATTTCTGTTTCTGATGCTGCTTAACAAACTGCACCAGTAATTTCTCCCAAGTCATGTTTCCTGCTGGAGTTCTAAGTGAATTATTTGAGAATTAGTAAAGTAAGCCAGAAGACCTGATTCTAGCCCTTCCAGCAGTTAGGTCCTGTGGAGGAGGCAGCCTTAGGTGTGTGCACATCATGGTTTTGCCTTGGGAGCTGTTGGGGAGGGATGGAGCCTCGGGGGTTGCCTTTGCCTGGGTCCCGCGCAGTGCTCCAGTCACTCTGGCTGCAGGCACCCAAGCCTGATTGAGTTGGATAACTCTGCTGTTAGGAATAACAGGAAAGCAAATTTGTATGTTTGCACTTCTTTATATTTAGCAAAGAGTGGAATTTGATGGAAAAGCGATCCATGCTATTTGAGGTGGTTGGAGAAACTGATTCTTTTGTACCCATATTTGAGCATTAGGGCATAAATAACAGACCAGTGAGGCTCAGGTCAACCATGATGTAACTGGTTAAGCACATGGATTAATGCCATAAGGGCTGGGTTTTGTGCCATCAGTTCTCAGTTTTGTGCCATCTTTTCTTTAATGCTGATTTTGATGGAGTGGATCCACCAAAGGATGCCACTAACATCAAGTTTGCTTGTTTTTATTTTCTTGTTAAGAGAGATAGGTTTCAATAAAGATGGTTGCATACATGCTACTTTCAACTGGTGAAAAAAGTAAACTTTTATTTTCTTATTTGTATTTAATAGGTCTGTATATGATGACCAACCAAATGCCCATCAGAAGTTTATGGAAAAGCTTGATGCCTGCATACGTAACCATGACAGGGAGATAGAAAAGATGTGCAATTTTCACCATCAGGGCTTTGTGGATGCTATTACAGAACTTCTTAAAGTTAGGGCTGATGCAGAAAAGCTAAAGGTAAGGAAGAAGTTTTTCAGAGTTTCATATATCATTGTCTTTGAATCTAAAAGAAGGAACTGGACTCTTCTACTGAAGATTGATTTAGTGTTTATCACATGCACTCTGATGTTTGCAGCAAATTTTTACAAGTGAATTGATCAGGATTTGTGATTAGAGCCATGTTGCCTGATACAGTAATTTATATTTACAAAGCTGAATATTTTATTAGATCTCATTTTGATTTTTTAATCTATCATTTTCAGAAAATGCTACCAAATTATTTTGCCTTTTTATAAAGGCTTTCTCAGAAGGTGAAGGACAGCAAATGATAAACACAGTATTTCTTAAAAAAGTCTTTTCTTAATCATGTTTTTATATGTCAGACCTTAGAAGAATCGAAAGTCCTTTTTAGAAAACTAAAAATGCCACAATTATGCGTGGAAAAAACCCCTGTTCTTTACTTTATAATGAGCAGCAGAGTAGGTGATGTTAGTAGTTTCCATGAGATATGAGAACCAAGATTTCCTCACAGATCAGAATGCAGAATAGTGAATTATGAGATCCGTCCCTTTTAGCTCTCCTTACACTTTTGAGAGCAAAATATGCACACCAGACAGAATGAGCATAGTTCATCAGAGGTTATGATTAGAAGACCATTATATAAAGGATATTCAGATAACAAGAGACCAAATACAGCATCAATGAGGTCATTGAGCATCTTTGTTCAGAAATTAATGAGATTTTTAATAAACTAGAATGTGCTTCCTTATTATGATGACCTAATGAGTCACTTACTATGTGGGAAAATCTGAGGTTGAGCTTTGCCTGCACCTGCAGCATTAAAATGTTGCTGTGGTTTGGAGATTTCCACGTTTGATGTTAATCAACCACCCAGTGTTTGCATTCAGCAAAGTATGAATGTTTAATTACCATAAAATGCAATCACCATTTCTTACAGACAATGAATGGCCCATAGAGCTCATTGAGGTTATCAAAAAGGGACCAGTGGTCAATTGGGTCAATGATTTGAATTGTTTGACAGACCTACAGAAACAAGGAAAGTTCAAAAATCCCAAGTAAATTTGAGAAGTTTGCCACAGAATCTGTTAGAAAGAACTGTCATAAGTAATTGAATTTAACAAAAGCCCTTTGCGATCAAAAGTTCAAGTTCAAGCTGTAGAGTTAATTTGAATTTGCATTTCTTTGTTCTAAGTTTCTCAGGAAGCATGATCTGATTACAAGGGTGAGCAGTCACATCAGGGCAATATATGCATATTTGTCTAACAAAGGTGAAATTATTTTTAAGGTCCAAGTTACTGATACCAACCGAAGGCTTCAGGATGCTGGGAAAGAGGTGAGAAAATGATGCTTCCTATATGGACATTATGAATATTTGTAGCAAAATAGGTTTATTTGCATAATTTAAGTGTGATTTTATTTCCTTTTTTTAAATAAAAAACCTTTAAGGTGATAGCCCAAACAGAGGAAATCATCCGATGTAGAGTTCAACAGCGGAATATTACAACAGTTGTGGAAAAACTACAGTTGTGTCTTCCAGGTGAGTGACCTACAGTGAAATATGATGGCAAATTATATAAAGTCTCAATAGCCAAAAGGAAAAGTCTTCTATTTTTTCTAAGTTCTGGTCCTGTAACATCCAGGTTAATGAAAAAATTAATAGGTTTTTTAAAGATGTCAACATGAAGGTTCCATATCTTTTGCGATATTTGACACAGAGCAATTGCAACAATGTCAGAAGCAGTGAGACATTTAAATGGTGCAAACCATGTAGCCACGTACAGCTTTGAATGAGCTAATATTTTTAATATGGTAAACAATTAATTTGTTGCTTGAGAGGGTGGGTTTTAGTGTTTGAATAGTGGGGAAAATACTAACGATGTTCTTTCAACATTGTACTTTTAGCTCTGTGTCACTACAGGTGTTTTGAAATAAGCAAAAAGGCTCTAAATGTTGTTTCAGGAAGGTAATATTGTAGGATTGCACACAGCTCCATGAGAGTTTTATCTTGTATATTGTATATTGTTTGTCATATTGGTGTAAAGTGGATTTGAAATTTTTCTTTGTGAAGTCTTCTTGTTGACGTGTTCTGAGTACAGTAGGTGGTACTGTTGCCTTTTTATGGAGACAGGCCATGGCCTGGTAATGCAGATCAGGTTGCTGCATGTAGTAAGTGAATGAATATGCTTGATATGTATAGTGTTGACTGGTTTTTGTTAACCTTAATTCTTTTTAATTTAAAAGCTGTTAAGGGTTCAGTTATTGTTTTCATACTCTCAGCTGCATTCTAGAATATTTTTTACTAGGTTTATCACATTTATGCTACAGTAGGAATTAAATAAGGAAAGTATAGCACATCCTTTTCTATTTCTAATTTTGCCCTTTACAGTGCATATTTTCCTCTTTTTTTAACTAAAGCCACAATAAGACTCACAAGTTAATCTTTTTGCTTTTATGCAGTGCTGGAAATGTACAGCAAACTAAAAGAACAGATGAGTGTAAAAAGGTGAGTAAACTTCTTTCTATGAGAAAAAAGTAACATCTGTATGTAAATTGACAGAATAGCAAACACTTATGTAGACAAGTAAGTGTTCTTAGTCTGTAGCTTGGTATATGTATAGTCTTTGTTTCCTAACACTGGTCTGTGTTTTACGAACATTTGAAAATGTATTAAAGAACTTCTAGGACCTTACTGCTCGCCATGAGAAATAATGCTTACTTAAATGGGTATGACATGTAGTGAAATTATGATTATAAAATATTAAATTAAATGTACTGGTTTTTATTACTTAAAGCACTTTAAGAAGCAAGAAAAATAAGACCCTTAGAGACTGAAGGTCTTTTAGAGTACATTAATATCTGATTAATATATCGTGATATATTGAAATTAAATGCATAATACCAGAAGAAAGGACATTTTACTCCTTATACCTTTCTTTAGACCTATCTGGTTTCTCTATGCTTTTTGTCTAAATGGGACTATGGGACTGAAGTGAAGATAATGTGCTGTTTGGGGGTTTTCCCTCTTTGACAAATTGACTTGTTAAAAATAATTAAAACTATAATTATAAATTAATTTCTAGGATAATAGTTTATAACTGTGCATGACCAGCTGCTCCTTCCTATTGTGTCTCTACTTCTCATTTTCTCAGGGAGCCACTCACTGCTGCTCTAGTCCCAGCATCCCCAGTTCTCCCTCCTTCCATGGCAGCTTGGCTGCCCCTGCCCCCTGCTTTATCTGCATCCTGTCCCACTGGGGCTGCTGCCTGCACCTCACACACCAGCCCAGCAATACAACTCCTGCTGGTTTTTTCTTCATGATTTCCACATCATCACTGCCACTATGATCCCTGCCTGCTTTTCACAGCGCCTCAGTCACACCAGTGCTCTGTGCCTTTCTGGGCTCCTGGTTGCTGCTGGTGCCTCTTTGTGCACTTGGCACCACTGCAGGGAACTCCTGCTGACAAGTCTGTCTGGACAGGGCTGTTCCATTTGGAACTAGCTGTGCACGGTCAGTTGTCTGCAGGGCTGCTATGTAATACAGATTTACTTTTGGACTGTTTGTCTGGATTTCGGTTTCTGGGTAACCAACACCTCCTACCATACTGTTGGACATCAGAAAACCTTCAACAGGCAGCCACTGTGTGAGCAATCAGCTCTAAAGCCTGTGTGCAGACATGTCCAAAATGCTTCAGATGAACTGTACCCATCAGATCTATGGACATTGCAGCAGATCTGATGCATCTTTGGCAGTAATATATGTGTTATATGATACCTGTGCATGTTTGCTGTCCAGGAGGTCTCCTGCAGAAATACAAAAGCTTTAAGAATGACCTTACAGCTATGGCACTGTGGTGTCTCTTATTAAAATTAAAACTTGCTATATGTGAACCAGTATGGTAGATCTCATCAGCTTGACTGCTGTACAGTGTTACCTCTGAACAGGACACTGCTTCAGCATCTGCTTCGAGTAGCTGGCACGTAGTAGTAGTAGCAGCATGTTGTTGCAGTGCTCCTGGAGCAGCTCTGCAGAAGGATATAAACAGTCCCCTTGCTACTCCAGTCAGAGATCAGACTGAAGAGTGTGCTGTCTGAACCACACCACGTCCCTCTGCAAGGTCTTCTGTGGACAATGCTACATGTAGTGTCCTGAAAATACTGAAAACACTGGGTTCAGTGCCTGCATTCTGCCTACCCTTGCTCTGTCAGGCAAGGCAAGCAGCATTCCTGGTTTTAGAGCTGCAGGGAAAGTTGTAGTTCCTAATGTCATCATGTAAAGATCATTTAGGTGAGATAAAATTGCTGATGGTTTTTAGCATTTTGACTCTGTATTTGCTAGTGCTTTTGTAGAGTCCACTGATGGTTGATGTGCTTTCCGAGAAGCCATCAGTACTCTTCAAATCCTAAAGACTTCTATCTGACAATTTTCCCCTGGAAGTTGTTGCCAGACAGGAAGTCTTAAAAGTCAAAGGACTCCTGAATTGAGGGGTTTGGACATGTTATTGTCATACCATAAAGAGATCTAAAGGAGAGGGGAGATGCCATAGCTTTGATGTACCATGCCTTGAAATCACATGGAGTGAAGAAGGCTTAGACTCTGCTGCAGGCTACTGCTGCAGCTCAGATAACTCTTTCATTAGCTATGCTACAGTTATTATTTTGCCTGTGACTTTCCAATTCCCTATAATGCAGCCTACAGGTGGCTATTCCATGGAACTTGCAGGTAATTCAACTGGTAATTTCCTTGTGGCTCAGCAGAGTGCATCTATTCTGGCTTTTATCACTACTAAAAGATTGAGCAACTGCAAGAACATCATAGTGTCAGTGCAAAGATCTGACAGCTGATGTGTGCACATAAAAAGGAATTCAAAATTGATCTTCCTTAGTTTTGCTGTGAAGCATTTGCATGGAAGAGTCAGGGCAGCAGTCACAACCCAAGACATAACAAGGCAATAAGGACTGTTTATTTTAGGCAAGGATAATTTCTCATAAACCTTCACTGAGATTTGTTAATGCAGCAAAGCTTTCACTGCTCTTTTTTTATAAAAAGACATCTTGACTTTCTCTGCTTGTGGCCTTTTAGAACATTTCATTATTCCATTGTCTTACAGACTTGCACCATTAATAAAACTCTCAATTCTAATGTTTAAAGGAAGGGAAAACAAAAGTATGGGTATTATATATGTTTATGGGATAGTTGTTACAGAAAAAAGATCGGAATTTCATTTCCTTTTTCTGTGGCAGACCTCCTTTGAGATAATGCAGGATTTTGGAACTGGAATACGTGCTGGTTTGTGCAGGTGAAATAGAGGTTTACAGAGAGGTCCAAAAAACCATCTATTGATAGCAACTTTTGGTCCTTTACCAACATGGGTAACGTTTGAACTGATGACCTAGAGGTGAAAGGCTCTGTATCCTATTTATCTGTCTCCTGAGCCATGGATAACACAAGTTGACAAGAACTGTAGTAGTGAGAAGAAGTAACTGCAGAATCTGCTCTAAACAGACACAGTTGGCTGGAAAGAGCTGCAGAGGGTTTAAAGTCTTAGCTGAGGAAGCACAAAGGAGAAGTGTGGTTTCTTTGCTGCTCTCCCAACTGCCTAGTGGGGGCTATGCACTTACACAATTCGAGCTTGAATTTTAAGTCAGAGATAAGGTCATCACACATTTCATACAGCTCTGTTACCATGGTCTAAGTGTTTGGATTTTGATAGGTTTCTTGGGAGGCAGGTCCCAGCTTCTTCAAGTGGTTGTGGTCTAATTTGGAATAGTTAGAACTGGTGTTTTTGCAAGTCTTTTTCCCCAGTAAATATTACAAAAAACCCAAACCCATCATACAATGGAAGTATATCAATAAGTCAAACTGCTAAGGTTGTTGCTGTATCTTCTCAAATCTTCTGTGAGATGGACTGAAGAACAAGTATAGTGTTTCAGAATGAGCTTTTTGCCCTGAAAGACTTGGATTTTTTGACCTTGTTACAAGCTTTTTTCCTAACTAGAAAGGCAGAGTTGATTAGTTATTTAAGTTACTAAAACTCACTGAGACAGTCATGCATCCTTTCTTTGCATAAACCTTCCAAGTATCCAAACGAACCTTAATACTTAAAGGATGCAAATATGAAAAATTCATAATTTGTATACTTTGGTTCTACCCATATCAGTATGGAAGATATCAGAACAGATAAAATCATGGTAATTTGATTTTGTTTTTCTGCATTGTTTTGGAAGTGTCAGAATGAAGCACTGGATTTTACCAGCAGCAAATCAACACTTCCCAGTGGTACCATGGATCTGGCAAAAAATCCCATCAGAATTAATACGATGGGGTTATTTGATACTGAAATGTCAGCTGCTTTCTTTGTCACCATTCTCAAGCATTATTAGTTTGATAATTTCACTTTCTAACAAATTTCCCACCGCATTATTATTGACAAAAAAGATATTCCACATATCTTGTTTTTTTCCACACAGGAGCTCTTTAATCTGATTTTCAGAAATACTGAGCCTTTGATTTACTTTACAGAAGTTTCAGAGTTAGTAGTGCCTCTGTCTCAGTTCACAATCATTTGGGCAACTGACAAAATTTGTATGCTGGGAAAGTTTAAAACTTAGGTTTAAAGTTGTTAAGGCAACTAGATTTAAAAACAAAATAAATACTTGTGGTAAAAGGATTTCAATTGCAATTTCAACATGTCACCTTCAGGATCTCTCTGAATGTGATTTTTCTGTAGTGTTATCGAAAAATCCCAAGGAACTCCCTTAAATGTGTTTGATAGCAAAGTTTTAGGTATTTACTCAGTGGAAATGTAGTAAGCAAGAATATACAGTGTTTCCTCTAAGGGAAGTCCTAAAATTGGAGAATACTACTATTTTTTCTTTGTAAACTAGGTTTGTTTCCTTAATTAAAATAAAATGAAGATTTTATCTCTTGTGTTTTTTCAGCAGGAAATTTTGAGATACAACTACATGGTTTTTTACTTAATAAGCTTGTGTGCAAATAAAGTACTCTGAGTAAAATTCAATCTTTGAGTTCATCTTGCTCCTGATTTGTGTAATTTCTTTACTGCTGTAGTTTAACTTGATGGGGCTTTTTTAGTAAGTTATGTTATTTCTCTTTACTCCCTCCAAACAACACTCTGGTGATAAAAATCTTAAAAGTTCTCTTTATAATTTAGAGCATAAAGGAATACTTAATATATACTAAAATAATGGTAATTTTCTTTTAATTCTGGGGTTTTTATGTGTTGATGTTTTATATTCTATACAGACCTGACTCTTCTGTGCCTGGGGCATTTTGCAAAGAATAAGATGATGCAAAACACTAATAATAATTTTTGGGGGGTTGAGGGGTGGTGGTTGTTTCTTTGTTGTGAGGTTTTTTCCCATTTACTTTTGTGTTGTGAGTTCTTTTTTTCTTTCCTGGTTCTTGCTGGTATTAAAGGTTCCATTTTTATAGTTTTAGTAAGATACATTGTACAATTTTCTTGTTCTGTTGTTGAAATGGATCAGTTCTACACAGTCTTATCATATGACCCATATTGGTGTTTCAAACTTGTGTCTTCAGTTTGAAAAAAATTACAAATTTTGCATTGAGGAGCATATTGTCACAAGATCAGCTCAGAAGAATAGACAGAAGAATGCTGTATTTATATGAAAAATAACTTTGAAGATACTTCTTTAATTAATTTGTAGTCAAATGGGCAATCTTCACCTTATGTGATTGATGATACATGATGGGAACTAATAATATTGTCAAAACCTTCATTATTGAGTTAAATCTATGGAAAGTTTTAAAATCTAAATATGTAAATATATCACTCTGTGAAATGATATGCAAAACTTTTTGGTTTAAATCCTGACCTGCAGATGACCTTCAAATTAATAAGACTTCAGTGCTTTATCAGAACAGATGTTAAAAGGGCAAGGTCCTGAGCTCCATATATATGTAATTAGTAAGGGACTCTAGAATGGATTTAGAATGGATTATGTTAATTCTGATCTTAGAGCCAGCAGTCAAAAACCCTTCCAGATGAACTAACAGTGTTCTGATAAGCTGATCTGTATAATTTAAATAAAAACCTTTTATAAGATTTTGACGGTATTATGGTTTTATTCCCCAGAAGTCTCACCATGTGGCACTCGTGGCCATTTTCTATTTAGGAAAACAAAACCCACACACATAACCCCCCCAGACCTTTTCTTATGTGCAACATTCCCATCACCTTATGTATATTTTATATGAACCAAGCATATAACAAACAAAAGCTCCTAATTTACACTTGAAACCTCTTTATTTGCAGTCTTCTGAAAGCAGCTCTGTTCTGGAATAAAAGAGAAGATTTTTCCCATCCTCCAGCTATGCTGAGTTGTTAACTTAGAAATGTCTTGATTAAGAAGGTTCAAAACACTGTCTTAATTTCAGAGTTGAACAAGAAATCGTGGTTCTAGTGTTAGTCATTTGTTATTGCTTGTCTACTGAAGGAAACCAGAAGCTTAAATTACATTTTTTGAAAGTGTTTACTGACTATATTTAAAAAGTAATATCTAGAAACTAAAGAACCATAAAGAACACATCTAGTTTTTCTCATTTGAAGGGATTTTCCTCTTATTCAGCTTTTTCCCTCAAAATAATTTGGTAATTTTTCAAAACAGATGATGTTGGACTTTAAGGAAGGAAAAGGAATTAAAATTATGGAATAAAAGCTGAAAATGGGTGAAGAATATTACTCCATATTTGTGAAAAGAAACGGTTGGAACTAGCAGCAAATTATCTCCATCTGATCTGAGTGTTTCTCAGCTTTTCCCATTTAAGACCAAGGTAGAAGACATTGGTTTACCTTATTCTGTTCTAATTGGACAAACTAAATTCATTTTCCCAACTCCCTCCAGTAGTAAGGTAGCTGGTAAGAATACTACATAAAGGGAAATTATTGTCACATCTGCAATTGGCTGCTGTCCTACTCATGTTTAGCCTGGTTCCTATGCCTCTCTTTAAACTGTGGTTGAGATCACAGATTTGTTGATAATGGTACTTTGTTGATTCTGTGTAGTTGTCTTCTGGATGGGATAGACTGTATTTTGTCAGAAGAGCTAATAGGTTTGTGGTTTACAGCAAAATATGATACACTGCTGGAAAAAAACATTGGTCAGGATAGGTGTATACATGTATTTTCTGACTAAGGATGGTGGAAAGAGGGTGGGTGTAGATGTGTGCCTGTGTTCACATATGCCTGAAGATAGCAGATACCTGCAGGCATGCTTTTTCAAGATTTTTTTTCATTGTTTGGTGCAGTGTTGGGTGATTGGAAGTTTGTGTTTCAGAAAAAACTCCAAATGATAAAAAACCCCTAATCAGTTCATTCTAGAAGGGCAGGTAATGTTTATGGCTTCAGTGTCTCCATTCTGCAGGATGCAGACTGATAGTCCAGGATAGCTGACTGTTGATCAGAACTGTTAATACTGTAGGAGTCTCTTTAGTTTGACTTGGCTGAGTCACTCTTCACTGTTTTTTTTTCCAAATGAAAGCATTATATGGATGACCTTTTGATTGTTAATTTTTCTGAGAATAGAGTAAATTAATTAGATTTATTTATTATAATAGAGTAAATTAACATTGATTCTATGTGTGATATTGATATATATTTGAAAATTTATGTTACCAACTTTTTATTAGAAGCTACATAATTTTATTTTAATCTCTTTGTAGATACTATTCTGCTTTGAAAACAATGGAGCAGCTGGAAAATCTGTATCTTCCTAGAGTTAGCCAATACCGCTTTTGCCAGATAATGATGGAAAATCTTCCAAAACTGCGTGAAGAAATAAAAGAAATATCCATGTCAGATCTCAAGGACTTCTTAGAGAGTATTCGAAAGCATTCTGACAGAATTGGGGAAACTGCCATGAAGCAGGTAAGCCAGCCAAAGAGAATGACTTCAGTCCTGTTGTTTACTGAACATTTCAGTTTCATTAGTCTGGAGTTACCCCTCAAAGATTACAGTCATCCCACAGACCTCTGAGTAAAGGTGGAGAGCTGTGAAATACAAACATGTTGTGTGGTTTCTATCACTGCCCTAGACACAAAGTAATTTCCTCCCTGAGAAAGGAAGGAGAGATGCTGTATATCTCAGGTTTCAAGAAATTATGAAGTACTTTGAGTAGTCAACTCCTGGACAGTCTGTATCTCAGCAGCTACTGCACCAAAACAAAGAGCAGCCTATGTGGCCAGCTGGCCTGGATGAATTAGACAAAAGAAGTGTTGAGATAACAGCCTAGTTCTCTCTGAAGTGCTGCTCATACAGAAGACTGAGGTAAGAGCCAGAAGGACACTGAGACAGCTGGAGGCCTTGCTCCATCACAAAATAGTCTGCACTTGAGAGCACTACTACTAGGCAAGCTTCAAAGCAGTTAATGCTTTTAAAATTTGTTCAGAGAGCAAATAAGGTTTTAATTTGACTTCTTGTTGACAGAATTCAGGTTGGGTTGCCATTTTGTCATCTAAGGTTCTTGTAAAATGCAGCATTGATTATTATAAATGAGATTTAATTGCAAGGTTATGCTGTGCTGCCTTCAATAGTAAGGGCAATATGGTGCCTTTGATTTCTGTAGCTGACTGCTCACTTAGACTTAACTTAGACAGCAAAAAAAGTATCTGGGAACTCAGATACCTGTTTTTCATTTAAATATTGATTCTCTGCAATTTATGATCAGATAAATTACAGATTGATTTTTAACTTTTTTTCTGCCATTAAAATGTCATTCTGGGGGTTAGGGAAAAGTTATGCAGGATTCACTTTTGAACTCATTTATCATCCCAAACTGATTAAAGGCAAAATCACTGGTGTAGGCTGAGGGTGTGCTTGCACCTTGTAGTTATACATTGATGTGTATATATTGTTATACAGTTATATATTGATGTGTATTCAATTGCAACACCTGTTTTTCATGTCCTAGCATATACTCATCAGTGTTGAAATTTGATTTGCATGCCTCTTACTTGATTCTACTCTTAAAACAGGCACAGCAGCAGAAAACCTTCAGTACTGCTCTTCAGAAGCAGAATAACGTAAACTATGGTCGGAATATGCATTTAGGTAGAAACAGGATTTTGGAATCCAAGAATGAAGTCACATTGAAGCGAACATTTGAAGATGAGGATGAGCATGATGAGGAGGTAATTTTGTACTAAATCAGTTCATCTTATTCAAAGTGAACAAAATTCACTGTCTTTACACTTTGTTTAGATGGTTAGTTAGAAAAATACACAGAAGACCTTCAAGGTGTACCAGTTCAGGTCAGCATTTGAGGGTGAAAAATTACTGCTAAAATATTATTTGTATTAATGCTAGCTTTAGCATTATGTTTGAGGACATTCAGTTGCACAGGACTTCCAGTTATTCTGGAATTCAGTTGCAACTTAGATCATATATTGCCTGCCCACTGTTAGTATTATGTGGTCCACTGGAATATTCTGATGTTGCTAAATCCTGCATTTTGGTGTTGATGCCCTCAGCTTAGCTAAGTACTCTTTCATCTGTCAAGTACTCAATATTCCTAAATTGGATAAAACAATATTTAGACCTTTAAAGCTCTGGAAACACAGAGAAAGGAGTGTGGCATTATAACACAAGTAAAGTTTATGACTGTAATGCAAAAGGAAGAGAGATTGGAGTAATTGTTTTATTGTTTTCCAATAGAAGCCAGCCATTTTTGAATCTTTATTATGTAGACAAGTTCTGTTGGTAATGTATCCCATTTTGCAGATTATATGCTTATATGTTTTATATACTCTTGTTTTTCCTTTCCTTCTTCAGGTTTTAACTGCCCAAGATCTTGTAGACTTTTCTCCAGTCTATAGGTGTTTGCACATCTACTCTGTTCTGGTATGTGTTAAAGTGACCTTAAAAAGAGAATTAAAGTTTTGAAGTTACATATTCATTTTCACATTCTTCATACTCTTAATAGTTCCCAAACAGGCAAATGTATTGCTTCTAGTGTTAGTAGTTCTGGATGAACCAGCTGAGATGGGTGTGGGTACTCAGGGCATGAGCTTTTGTATGCATAATAAAGCACACTTCAGAATTCATTTATTACCTAAGTGGTTTTAAGTATATTTGTAAAATATGCAAAGTATATATGTAAAATATGCATGTTTGCCTTAATACTGCTATCTACACTTTCACAGTTCCCACAAGTGTTCCATGTTAGCCAAATATGTGGATGAATGTTACAAAACATAGGAATATTCAGTCTGAATCGTGTGGAAATTAGAGTAGTAGCAAAAATAGGAAGCAAAATCTGCAGATTCTGACAGGGTGTGCCCAGGCAGATTAAATTGGATTCAATGGCAGAGACACAATTGCCTATTTTAGCTTCTGTAGAAGAGATTCAGTGCACAAGCTTACAAGGAAGAAAACATTTTTTGGAAACATGGTACTGAATTATTTGTTGTTTTTTATCTTTCCTGTGTCTCATTTACTTTTGAGGTCAGATTACTTATAGAATTCAAGTACCAGTGACACATAGGTGATGTACTTGTAAGTATTGCTTATTCTACTCAGGTCTCAGCTGCACCTGCCTTCAAGCATTCAGGCTGGGTTGTCTTCTTTTTATGGAATACTTGCAGCTGTGGTACATGAAAGCTTGCATATTGAAATACTGTTTAAAATGTAATTTCACTGGAACTTTTTTTTTTTTATTATTATTAAGAAAAAAATGCAAACAAAACCATCATTAATTGTTCACCTCACTGAAAAGTTGGGAGGAACAGAAGGACAGGCTGCCAGAACTATTGAAAGAGTGGACTGTTTACTTTAACAGAAAGCAGTGTGAAATAACACATTAAAAAGAAAGTGTAAAACTAAGCATACCAGTTGACAACAGCTGCTACTTCTTCCTTTAGTATAATAAAGGAACAGGAAGTAAAATGGACAGATGACATTTAAAATTAATACATAATTCTATTTTTCACTTTGACAAGGATCCTGAAGTTCCAATCACCCTTGATCCAAAGATACGCTTTTTGGGTTTACACTGAAAGTTTTCCAGATTCAAATTTACTGGAGACAGAAAACAACTTGGAGTGATCCCTGATATCAAAAAGGGTTGTTGATGTAGATTTCTGTATTTCCTGCCAGCATAATTTCCTTAATCAGCCGTGATAGCATTATCTAGAGTTGTGCATTAGCAACTTTTGGGAGTCCTTCTCATTTACCTTGTGTTGAGTTTAGAGAACTTGTTGATGGCAAAGAAGAGGAGTTGATACCAGATGGCTTTTCATTTCTATAATTAGAATCCTGCAGCAAGTGTCATGTTCTTAATGAATTCTGTCTCTGCTACAAAATTGTAGAAAATTCTAATTTCACACAGTACAGAAATTTTCTACTCTGCTGCTTCATATTGAAACAGAAAGCATAGTTTTTATATGCCTCAGAATATTACACAGCTTGTGATTCCAACCTAGTGATAGCAAGATACATACATACCAAACATAGACCATATTTATGGACCAGTAACCTTTCTTTAGACTAGAAACTTATGAGAAATATACATAAAGTTTTTTTTTAACCCATGTATTGTGTGAGATGCTGTATATATAAATTCTGGTGAAGATACCCCTGCCTCTTTTGCTTGTAATGTTACCTTTTCATGTTAAAAACACTGTATCAATGTAAAACAAGTAGTGTGAAATAGGATTTGATATATTAGCAATATTTCTAAAATTTATAACAAAACATGAACTGATTTATTTTTCTGTTGATGGAAACTGTAAACAGTAATTAATGTAAACATGTAACTTTGGAAGCCGGGCAAAACAAATGCATTGTTTTTTTACATTTTATCTTGCCTAGGCTTTACTGATTCAGTGAGTGAACCATCAGGGTTGTTGGTGTATTCTGGTGATTGTTTCAGCACATGTGGTTCAAACAGTTGTTATGCCTGAATTGTTAATTTTGACTGCATAGTATAGTGTGGTCTATAAATAATCATGAGATATTTTACATCTCCACTTGTGGTGTGGATTTGAGAAGAACAGCTAGTCCTTTTCACTCAAGAAGCTTTTGTCAGGACTGGCTAGAGATTTGATGCTGGAGGTAGAAGTCAACAATCTGAAAACTGCACTGAAGGTTTGGGCTGGAGGTGAATGGTTGTATCTGTGATCATTATGTTTGTATGAATTGGAGCATACTGTGTAAAGTTCTGCTGTAGCAGACAGTGTTAGTAAATTTGCATCTTGGTTTCAAGTGGATTTTTTTTGTTTTTAAGCAAAGTCTCTCTTTTAGGCTTTCTTAGGTTAGCAGTATTTCTAAATATACCTAAATATTTGTTATTAACTAAATATTCATTATTAACTAAATTTATATCTTGTAAAGCTTAGGTAGGTAATGCTGGATCAGTAGGATAAAATGTCTGTAATAATTTGGAGACTTTTTGGAAGACCAAGTAATGGAATTCTAAATAGCAGTGGCCTAATAATAGGCTCATAAAGCCAAAACAAACCTTAAAAATGCTAAGCTGCTTTATTTTGCTTGCATACAAGTTGCATGTGGTTTGGTAGATAGATGAGTCAATGTAACACTGATTTCAAATGGACAGATGGTTTCTACTGAATAGTCATCTTAATGAGATGAATAGGATTCACTTGAATTCCTCATAATATAATCTTTAGGCACAGAAGGTATTGTATTTTTGAGGATCGTGATAGGAAAAAAATCTAATTCCACACTCTTTATAAATCCAAAGAGAATAAACAAATATTCAATAAATCTCCTGTGTGTCTTTCCTCAGGCAAAGCTGATGCAGCTAAGTGTTCAGATGTGTCACACATTCAGAGAAGCTTTTTTGTAACAACTTTATAATGCAGTTACTTTCTTGAATAACCTAGAGAAATGTTTTAGGAGACAATGAGTTTCAGTTATACAGTAATAGGCAATATGCCTTGTCTATGAATATTAATATACTCTGAACATTGTAGTTTAAAAATGGACATACTGTTTAAAATGCATGGTGTTGCTTGGCAAAATGTAGGCGTGTGAGCAAAACTTCTATTTACAGTACAGCCTGTAGGCTTCTCTACAGAAGAAGGTAATTTCTGAGTATTTCATGCTTGCAAAACTTTGCTGGTGTCAGCTGGAGGCTTACATGTGGAATAAATGCAAAATATGTGCTTAGTTTAAGAGAATACTACCTTTAAATTAAGAAGGGCCTTTTTCACACTGAGTCAATATTCTTTTTTTGAACTACTTATGTCTTTTTTTAGGGTGATGGAGAGATATTTGAAAATTACTACAGAAAACAAAGGAGGAAACAAGCAAGATTAGTTCTGCAACCACAGTCAAGCATGGTAATCAATACTTTCAGTTTTGCAATGATTTGAGTTGAAGCTAATGCCTGGTGTCATTTTTGTTCCTGAACTTGTTTTCTTTTTCATTGAAAGCATGAAACAGTAGAAGGCTATAGAAGATACTTCAGTCAAATTGTAGGGTAAGTTTTCTAAATGAAAATTTATTTCAGTTTTACTGTCTTGATTCTTAATTCAGCCTGTGTTCTCCTGTTGTCCAAGAACGTTCTTCTGCAAGATTCAGTTTCTGCACAAATCATGTGAGTGGTTATTTCAGGATCTGAGCAGGAAAGAGCATCCAGATCCTACCAGCAGGAGGCCCTACAAGGGCCCTCCAGCAGCCTGGGCTCCAGATGGCATGAAACAAACTTTTCACATTTTTCCTTCATTCTGGATGAAGCACAACACCAAACCTACCAAAGTGTCGCTGCTCCAGCGGGGAGGGTTTTGGTTATGCTTGGCTGTGAAAGGTAGTATTTGCTCTAATGTTAGAGACAGGTTAATAATTTAAGTATTATTTTGTTCTAGTTTCTTTGTAGTAGAAGACCACATTTTACATGTAACCCAAGGATTGGTAACCAGGACATACACTGATGAACTCTGGAACATGGCCCTTTCCAAGATCATTGCTGTTCTTAGAACACATTCAGTAAGTGAGAAGCCTTATAGTATTGCAGTTTAAATCCTCTTACTTCAGAGCTCTGTGTATTTAAAGCTGGGATAGCAACAGAGTGAAAAATTACACCTCATGTTTTCTTTTTCTTGTGATTAAAAATTGCTCAGATTTGGTAGGGAGCCTGCCAAGCTTTTGTTTTTCCCAACAGTATCAGGCTGTGATCCACAGCCATGGGCTATTTGCATAATCCTCCACTGATTTACAACTCACTGGGTCTTCCAAACCTTCTCTTAGTCCAGCAGTTTAGAATATGCAGAGTTAATCTGCTGTTATTATTGCAATCCTTCCTCATTAGTCTCAACTGACCTCTTCATTAGATCAGATTGAATAGTTCAGCACTGAAAGCACCACCAGGAAATAGTTCCTAATTATCATTCCAAATGCTGTGTTTCCAAAATAAACTCCAGCAGCAAAACCCTTGCAGCTCTCTCTTCAATGCTCTAGTCGTGTTATGTTTATGTTGAAGTAAAGGTATTAGAGAAATTCTCTATCACTTGGGTATTTCAGTGCTTTCAAGTGTGTCTCCTAAAGTTATATTCCTGCCTTAGCTGCAGTGATGCTGGGTGCTCTTTCTTATTCCTCTGTGAAAAACCAGTGGAATACACATGGTTCACTCAGACTGGCTGATAATAAATTGCTTCAATGTTTACTGTTGGTGTAACTTTTACTGTCAGAAAAAATACAAGAACTTTGTCTTTCCCTTTTGAAAGGTTGCTACCAGCATTTTCTTTATGCAGTGTTGTTTTTTATTTTTATTAAAATAGATTTTTAATTCAAGAAGTATTTTATATTTCATATATCCTGGGGGAAAATGGGGAAAAAGTTGAGATTGCAACCATAGTTATCATAGGACCTTTATTAGCATTAGTGGTACATGAGATGTTCTCACAGTTTTTTACTTTTTTTGAGAGGATTATTGAGATATATTCATCCAGCATTTTTTAAAGCTAAATACTTTGCTAGTTAATTATCTCCATGTGGATTTATACACCTACATAAGAATATGATAATTTAAAGGTTGAAAATAATGTAGCCTCTAAAGAACTCTTCAAAGTCTTGTCATGTTCTTGGTCACTATTTCTTCTCTATATACATAACTCCCATCAAACCCAATTCAATCAGAATCTCTCTAACATCATCCTGCTGAAGACTAATGTTTAGATAAATAAACCATTCTCTTCCTTTTAATAAAGTATGTCAAGAGCAAAACTTCAAGAAAGGTGAAACAGATGTATATTGTCTTCAACCAATACTGTATTCTCATGCAGCTTTAAATTATTTTAATAGAATTTTTTTACTTTATCCAGTATTTCAAATAGTGAAGCTGAGGTGAAAGCCTTAGTTGTATGACTCTACTCCTCTGAAAATCAAATTTCAGTTTCAGTCACCTAGTAAATAACTTCATGTCTTGACCTTTTATCATCCAATTCATCCAATTTAAATTTGAAATTATTTAGAAAATATTGTTTAAAGTTTTACCCATACAGCTGGAAAAAACGGTCTGAGGTGGTGCAGCATCAGTTAAACCTAAGCTTGGTAGTCAAAAGAATGTCCTGTGGAACCTCTCTGACACTGATTCCACCAAATGTGCTTATGTTCCACTAAAATAAATGTAATTTGTTGATTTTCAGTCTCAGTACACCATGCTAGTACTTACTCAGTCACATATTTTAGTTGACTTTTTCTGAACTTTTACACCATTGATAGTTATATAAAAATTTAACAAATACTTTTATGTAGCTGGACTAAGTGAAGACGAACAAGTGTAAATTGTTTTTCACTAAGGCTGGAGAGTTTAACCTGTGATACCAATCTTTGAAAATGTATGTCCCATATTTTAAATCCTTTTAATAAAATCAGAATTTCTCACTTTCAGTCATATTGCAGTGATCCTGACCTTGTTCTGGAACTGAAGAATCTCATTGTAGTATTTGCTGATACTTTGCAGGTACATACTGTATTACTAATTTACCTGAAATTCTTATAGTCAGATTTTAACTTTAGGTGAGTGCAGTGTTTGTGTTTTCATAAAATATATATACAAATCAAACCCAAAATTGCACAGTAATATTAAAAAAAAAATTATTTCTTGCCTTAGGTCGTCATTTTCATTATTATGAACTGAACATACGTGTTCTGGGCTATCTAGCAAGCATCAGTTATTCATCTCTGTGCAAAATTAGTGTTAGTTTTGTAATTTGTGTACGCTCTTGGCTTTTAAAAATGCTTTACTTCTCACCATAAAAAATAACAGCATTCCAGTAGTCACTAACTCTTTAGCTGAAAGACTAAGTGAGCATCATCAGAAAGTATTCTTGCAGTTTTTAACAAACAAGGAGAAATGGGGCAAATTTTCCAATGCATAGGATAAATACTTTGGTAAAATTTTAAGAAACCAACATGTAATAGTGTGCTGAAAGTACTGTAATTTGTGTTATAGAGATGATAAGATTGAATATAAGTCTTACCTCAGACTTGTCAAGTGTTGTGAGAGGAATTAAGTGTATTGGTTCATGAACTATCCCCTCTTCATTTTCATCCTTTAGGGCTATGGTTTTCCTGTGAACCGACTATTTGATCTTTTATTTGAAATTAGAGACCAATACAATGAAACACTTCTTAAAAAGTGGTCTGGATTGTTCAGGTTAGTATATCAGAATAGTTGTGCCTTTTGTATTGCATTTATTGTTTTTGTCTGAGCTCAAGTTTTTATGATGTAATTCAGAAAGAATTTGTGAACTCAAGTGTTGTGTATGAATTTCAGGTTGGTTAGGACTAAGATATTCATCACATGTGACTACTAATTAGAAGAGGAGACATCAAGTACTGCTTCCATCGTTAATGGAAAGAGGGAAGGTCTCCAAAGGGACATTATCAGAGAGACAAGCAGGAGAGAGACATCTGTTTCTCTTCTTTAGGAATCTGATAATGCCAGGTTATTGCAGGAGGGCTTTAGTTTCCTGATTTAGGTTGTCTTAATATCTGCTGTTGGCTGATATGCATATCTGCCTGACAAACTGCTGACATTGCCACTATGTCTTCATGTTTTTTTAATGAAGGATGTTTTCCACCACATCCTTGGGATCGTTTGATTGAAAAAAATCTAAACCCAGGAAGCCTGAGACTGGACTCCAAAGCCTCCTTGCAGATAGGGTGTGATGTCTCAATGTGCAGAAATTGTTTGCTATAAAATGTTTTATTACGCAAAACCTTACTATTAAATTGACCACTTAATGTTCTCCAGTTCTCTGTGCTTCTGTTACAGACATTTGACTAGTACAGAAGTGCAGGGGGTGCCCAAACAAGGTGGCCACCTCCTGCTTGAAGCTGTCTCAGTCATCTCCATTGACCATATGTAGCTCTGGTGCCAGAGTGAGACACTCTGAATATCAGCTTTTGTGTAGGAGAAGTGCAGGTTTCCTTAATCAGTAGGTATATTACAGTTTATTCTGGAGTGGATTAGTTGCTGTAAGGTTCCTTTGCTGTATTAAGCACATATGAAAACACTTCTGGGTATTTTTTTCCTCTATGATTACTGTAGACATACTGTAAGGAGTTAAGATATATGAAGTATTTTCAAAGTAATCAAAAATACTTGGGATGTGTAAAGTTCTTAAAATTTTTGAAGATGCAGACCTAAGTGTGGTGGTAAAATTGATATTTAATTACACATTTTAACACCAGAAAATACTGTAAGTTACATGTCCAAATTTTTTTCACTTCACTTACTCACCAGGGATATTTTTGAAGCAGACAACTACAGCCCTATCCCTGTAGCAAATGAAGAGGAATACAGAATTGTTATTAGCAAATTTCCTTTTCAAGATCCAGAACTTGATAAGGTAAGGGAAACTTTTATGTTATTAAAGTTTGTGGAAATCCAGTTGAAGACACTAGGGACAGTAATGATTTCTATAATTAAAAAACAATTAAAATTTGAAAAGCTAGGTCTATTAAGAAGCTTAATCACCTTCTCTGTGTGTAATTATCTTGTCATAAGTAAGTATAAAAATGAAAGGTTGAGTCATTTGCTCAGATGTTTGAGTGAATAATGAAACCCATTGTTTTGTAAACAAATTAATAATAGAGTTTAATTGATAAAGTCCTTATGTAATTATAATGCAATCTGTCTGTAGCTAAATTTTGTTGCAACTCATGTTTAATTACTCAGTATAACTGTTGTATTGCAAAAATACATGTAAAATAAAGATTGGTTAGAGACAATGATTTCTGTATTTCACTTTTAATTTAAATATTTGCATTTGAGCATGTAGGGCAAAATAAACATGAAGGGACTGTGAATAATTCTGCTGTAATAGCACTGCAGTAGGATGTCCTTTTGTAGCCTCAGCCATTCTTTCACTACAGATTCTGTTCTCAGAAAGGTGATTAACCTGTTTTGCTATTCAAGTCTGATTTTAGAAATACCAGTGAAGAAATAAGAGGCTCGTGGTGGAATCTGTAGAGGAGCACTAAGTCTGAGAACCACATGACAGTGGGAGTGGCTGCTGTAGGGGGAAGCTGTTTTGTACAAGATCCACTGCTACAGATACCTGCAGAAATGAAAAGCTATTTTAATTCTGTGGTTCAGCAGGGATTTGCCAGCAATTGTAACAGCTGCATGTCATTAATACAGTGTTGCAATGAAAATGAAAAATTGAAGGAGGTTTTTATGCTGATTTTTGAATGAGATTCCAGAGTGCTTTCTGGGTGCATTCCTCCATCAAATTAAATTACTTAGCCATTATAGTACTAAAATAAGTTAAATAGAATGGAAATCCCTTACAGTATTGGAAGTATACTATACCCTGGATACTATTTAGCATGGTATATTTTGCTAATAAACCGCAGAAATTTTTATTTTCTACTAAATAGTTTTATCTGCTATACATATATGTATGATTACTACAAAGCTTTGGCTGTTGTTGATGGATGCTTTTTTCCTAAAGATAAATTGAATTACTCATGGATGATACCAGGTGTTAATTATTTTTCTCATGCATTAGTCATAAACAGAAAAATAATTTTTTTGTAAATGGAAAAAATTATGTGTTCAGTGCAGAAATACCTATTTAGTCTGTGTAGATTTAAGTGAATTTATTCACTTTTGTTCTCCCAAATACAGTATCAGCTTTAAAATTCAAGTAAGAAGCATGATTTTATTATTATAAACATATTACTATTTCCCATGTGTTAATCCAAATTCCTGAAAATAATTCAAACTGCCTTGGTTTTGTGAACTTTAAAAAATAGTCTAAGCATTCTCAAGCTACTTTGAGAGTCCCAGAAGTGTTAACTTCTCAAACTTTTTTTTTTGCACTGTTTTGTTAGTGAAAGAAAAGTTTGTATTTTTGAACTTCTTATCCTGTTTACATCTATGTTATTCATTCAGATTAAAAGCAGTTTGAGACCTGCTTTTTAATGTATATTTGTAAATTGCTTTCTGCAGGGGCATCTTGAACTACATAAAATCTCCAAACTTTATTGTAATTTAAAGTGATAAAATTCTCTTCTGCTTATAAGCTATTTAAACAGATGTAGAAGTCAGCTCAACACGTGCAGCTTTGTATTTGATGGAGATCAGAAAAGGTTTAGTTAGATTAAAATGTTGATAATGTTAAATGGCTTTCTAATTGTTGGGTTTAGTACCAAGTTCTTGTTGGAATCAGTATGATCTCTTATTTCCTCAGCAATCCTTTCCAAAGAAGCTTCCAATGTCTCAGTCAGTGCCTCAGATTTATATGCAGGTGAAGGAATTTATTTATGCAAGCCTTAAGTTTTCAGAGTCACTTCACCGCAGGTAAGCTTGAACTGTCAGGAGTGTGGCTGCAAAGTACCTTGTAATTTTCAGGTGACCTAAAAATACATATACTAAAATGAAAATAGACTGTCTTGTGTACTTGCTCGCTGTGCTTGTTTCATAATTTACATGTATAATTCTTCAGATATGTTTAGTCTGTGATTCCCAATGCTGTAGCATGAATTTATCCATTTGTGGATATGTATATACTATACAATATGTGCATTGGTGAGCGTAGCTTGATGGGGTAAACAGTTTAAAACACTGCTGGGGCTCCTTAAACAGAATTGACCAGTTTGAATAATCTAGAGAATTGATTTATTTAACAAAGCATGTAAAGATTGAAAAGAATACTTTGATACTGACCATTTCAGAAGTAATTGTTTAGCATCCCTGACTACTTCCTTGTGTTTCATTACTCAATCCTTTGAGTTTCCTTAGCAATGATTTCTCCTGCAAAAAAATGTGCTGTCTCCATGTTCATTCCCTTTCCTCTCCCCCCCTTTTTCTGAGGGAAAACACAATTCACAATTCACCCATTTTCTTTCCTCTTCTGGCCTTCAAAAGCTTAGTTTTAATTGGATAAAATAGAATTCAGAGATCTAAAATCTGGAAGGGATTTGTGGCCTTGTCACCCATTTCTGCACTGTTAAAGATGTAAATTACTCTCTTTCACACATTCTTAATTGATACTGTTTATAATTTACACGTACTAATGAGCACATGTTGACCTCCTTAGTAACTCATTAAAACCCACAAATTACTCTTTACTAACATCTGTGTCAATAAACATGTCCAAAATCTAAAAATAACAGATTTTGCTTCAGTGTTGAATTGCAGTTAATGGATAATTTGGTAGGTGAAAGAGGTGTTCTATCTGCTAGACCACAGAAAACTTGGACCAGCCAGAATTTAAATGCACATAGAGAATTCTTAGCATTGAAAGTACCCTTGACAGGGAAGAAATTTAAATTATTAAGTATTGCTGTCAAAGTATTGCTACATGCAGCATAATTATAAAAATTTTTTTTTCAGTTCAACAGAAATAGATGATATGCTCAGAAAATCTACAAATTTGCTGCTTACAAGAACTCTAAGTAGTTGTTTACAGAACTTAATTAAAAAACCTCATATAGGTTTAACAGAGGTAAGTTTTGAAGCACATATTCAAAACTATGGGTTTTAAAAAATCCACGCTAAAACTAATTTGGTAAATGTAGATGCACAGGTATTGACACCACAGAAAATCAAGTAGTGTTTGTTTAACAATTAAAAATGAGAATAAGTATAAAAAGCATCAATATCTGTTACATACATAAGAACAATACAGTGTTGGGTCCTGTTGGGCCCAGGGTTGCCTTTTGAGAGAGACATGACAATGAAAGAATTTTGTGTTTTTTATGATAAACTGAGAGTTGCAGGAAATAAGCCAAAGACATTCGCACTTTTGTTTACACGCAGAGCATGATTTGTGTGTTCTGTCTATCAGTTAGTACCACTAATGTTGAGTTTCTTTCTATAAAAAATAGAGTGGAATGGAATATAAGATATATTTGAATGTATCATTCTGCAGACAGTGTTATGACTTTTTAAGAGCAGTAAATTAAAAAAAAATCAAATGGCACAAATTAATATATATTATATCAGCAATATATTTTCCTTTATTTTCCCTTTTTTAATTCTAAACTATCAATTGGATTTATTTCACTGGGTGGGTAGATTTCACTGAAATCGTTGTTTTTGAAATGGCATAATTTGTATTTAAGCTACATTATTACTCCTTAATGGTATTTGAAAGCAAACTTGAAAACTAACAGGAAATAGGTGGTAACCTGAAATACTGAAATGAATTTCTAGTAGCATTCTTTCTGAAAGAAGTAACCATTTACAAAATTAAATGACAGTAGGTGATATAAAAAGATTTTTACAAGAATTTTTTGTCTCTTGTAGCTTGTTCAAATCATCATAAACACAACACACTTGGAGCAAGCCTGTAAATACCTTGAGGATTTTATATCTAACATTACAAATATTTCACAATTGACTGTTCACACTGCAAGACTTTATGGACTTTCTACATTTAAGGTATGGTATATCTCATCCATTATATGACTATGTCTGAAAATTTATGTAAATGAAGCATTTTAAAACAAGAAGGGTGAGAGCAAAGCTGCTTGTCTTCTCACCTTTGTCTCTAAAATAATTCTGAACTCTTAAGCGTTCAGTTGAACACTGAGTAGTTAAACAGTGGGTTTTTATGTTTTTAGTATAGAGCTAGAATATGTCACTGCATGGGAAACCTCAATATTATCTTTCAAGTGCATTTTTTATTAAGTTGTGAAGTGACAGATAAAGCTTAACTTCACCAGAAGCTTTTACTAAATTAAGCTCCAGTTTGTGTAACTTCTCCCTTTTTCTGAATGGAATCAAGCAAAACAGCTACCTTGATCTAAAATGTTTGTGTCTGTTTTTTATTCTACCATAGAATTATTTTGTGATGTATTTTCAAAGGGTGTAAGTATTGGTATAAAAGAAGTATTAGCAACTAGTGCTTGAACTAAAATGATTCTAGGATATTTTTGTAATTTAAGCACAAAACAAAAGTAAAAGTCATCAGGGATTCTACAGCAGCTGCAACTTGAACTTTAGGTATTTGGCATTTTTTCCATGCACACTGAAACAAAGGAGAGTGATTTCTTGCATTTATGGGATAAAGAGAATCCTATTGAGAGAGTTCTGTTTTCTGCAATTCATTTTATCTCTTGATGCAATATGTGGTCTGTCCTACTGTAATATACCCTCTGGCATAGATGTTAAAAGGTGGGTGAGGTGGAATAATTGCAAGACGCTTCATGTTTCCAGATGATAGCTAATGATTCTGCCATTAGCTGTTGCTTGTTTTGCTAAGGATTAGTGCATAAGGCAAAAAAGAAAGGTTGTGGCCTAGCAACCATACTTGGTTACCATTGCCCTCCCAGCAGTTTTACTAATTTTGGTCTAGGGTGTCTAGTTTGCTTGTTGTGTCTTAGAATTTGTGTATCTGTAGCTATTTTCCTCTAAAGGTAGGAATTTTACCAATCAAACATGCATTCAAAACCACTTAATACAGCCATAGTCTTTGATTTCAGTAAGAGGTGAGATATTCTTTATCCTTTAATTTAATTTAATAAATGCATTTGCAAGCTGAGTTACATTCTTTGTAGGTTGCTTATGCTGTTTAGCAGTTATGTTTAACACTCCTACAAAGTAAGTTCTGTTGGAGGGATCCAACACTGTGTCTGTTCTTAGTGAGTTTGCACTTTGGAAAAATACAGGACAAATGCTGACAAACAGAAGGGCTTTTTTTTGTGTGTGGTTTCTCTCCTGTCTACTTGCCTGGAGATCTTGTTAGCGCAATGTTCTCCAATTATAGTGGAAAATTCTTTTCTTGTTAATCCCTCTTTCTTCCCCTTTCTATTGTAATGAAAAACTGCTCACAGTTCCCCAACTGGGCCCTCACAGAGTTTGGTATGTTCTACTGTTATTAAATTCATCTCCTAGTGGCAAATTGTGTCACCTCCATTCTTTCAGAGTGGTCAAAAATCTCCTTTTATTAGCAGCATTGGTCAGGTTCACATTCCATGAGATGAGCTTTTACATCTACACTGTATTTTTTTAATGCAAGACAAAACCAGAAGGACTAGTCTTGCCATTACCAAAAAATCATTTTAATTGTTAAAGGTGATACGACCACTCCATGAATGACTTTGATTTAAAAAAAAAAAAAAAATCCAAACCCAAACAAAAAAAAATTTAAGAAATTTTGCTCTAAGCCTAGGCAGATACCTTTGCAAGTCCCATCATTATAAATTGTTGCAACGGAGGTTTTGTTGTTAATCAGAAACTTTATATGTAGACTTGACTTTAATTGAAACTTTCTTAGTCATTGCCGTCTACAAAATTGTGGATATCCACATACTCCTTTGACATGATGACAGGTTGCCAGATTCTTGCATGTTGGATTTGGAGAGCTGTTCAGTGGAGCCTTTCTCAAGTTGATTTGACAGTAAAAATGCTATTTTTAGGGACTCATACTTTGATATTTATTTATGGCAGGGCCGCGTACTTTCTTGTTTACTCCTGAAGTGCCTCTCAGCCTAGGGCCTGATTGAATTCTAAATTTGGCACACTCAATGTGAGGACACGTTTAAGCTCATAAATTTTTATTTTTTCTTTATGCATTTCTTACTTATGCTTTTCTCAAATGCCATGTTTTTTGGATTGCTTTCTTCTAGAGGAAAGTAGCGATGGGAGTTTCATCTGCTTTTTGGTTACTTCAGTGTATCCAGGCTATTTTTACCCTCTGAAAACCTTAAGCAACTGATCCATTTGGTTTAAGTCAGTTGTCTTACTTGAATTATTTCTCCATATCAGTAAAGAAAATTTTATGTCGAGCCCAAATTAGAAAGATCTCAATATCTTTAAACTCCAGGCTGGCAAAAGTACAACTTTCCAGCAGCACACACACAAGCACCTGCTCATAGGTCCTGTTGGATCTCTGAGGAAGTCCCCTGTACAAACGAGGCAGAGGCAGCCTTGTAAACTCAGCTCTCACTAAATGCAGGACTTTGCTGTTCCAAAGAGTAGAATCCAGGGTGTGGCAAAGTAGGAGCGAGTAGGGGAGTGCTCTGCATCTCTGTATGTGATGATCAGGATATTTAAATGAGGATGAAAAATTATGAGTATTCTCCAGATGTGCAGCTTTAAGACAATAATTGCATAAAAAACGTGATTACTTGACCTCTGTCCATGAAAGACAAAATTATTAGGGTCTTTTATTATTTTCTTCGTAAAAGAAAAATCAACTTTCTGTCAGGATTGATACATTTGTAAGGCAGAATTAAATGTGTTTTTTAAAGTGCATTAAAGTACCAAATTCAATAAAATATTTTTTAATCTAAGAGAAACACAAGACTTCAGTTTTGTTGATGGATATAATTTTATCTGCATTTAATAATATTTTAGAATTCTGACAAGCATTGCACACTTTTTTTTTTCAGGATGCAAGGCATGCTGCAGAAGGGGAAATATATACAAAACTTAACCAAAAAATTGATGAATTTATTCAGATTGCTGATTATGACTGGACAATGTCTGAGTCAGATGGAAGAGCCAGTGGATACTTAATGGACCTAATTAACTTTTTAAGAAGCACATTTCAAGTTTTTACTCATTTACCTGTAAGTGTTCAAAATTAAGTTTAATTTCAAACTATTTGATCGTAATTTTATTTTAAAACAGTAAGGTTTGAACAAAAGGTTCTGGTTTTTGATTTGTGCACATGCTGACAGATGTATTTTTAAGTTTTTCTTAGCACAGAAATATTGTCAAATGGATATCAGTATGTTGGTGAAGCTTACCCATCAGAATACTTAGAAAATACTTTCAAATACTTCAGTCTAAATATTGTTACCAGCAACTAATTTACAAATAGTGTAAGAACTCAGGCAGTTTTCTAGAGCCTTTTTAGTGTACCATGTTGGTTTTGTGTGCACATGCATTGGTTCAAAAAATGCAGAATTGGTGTAAATCCTACATTTGTGCATAAGATTGTGGAGGTCTTGTATTCCCTAAGGCTTTTACCTAAATATTTTTGATCATAAGAAGTTATTTGATTCTAGTTAACAGAGCTTCATTGAATGAAGTCTTGCTCATATTCAAATATCCTGTGTTATTTTGTCCCAGGAAAAAGGGTACTGTTAACCTGTCTTATGTATGAATTGTTACGTTCTGTTGTCTGATTTCCCCTTGCTTTCAGATAAAAAAACTGTATCTAGTTTGGCTTACCATCATAATGGTTTATAGCTTATAGTTCTGGAGTAACTTCAGTAAGTAATTCAAGCTACATCTGCTTTTTATCAGCTTGTCCTTGGTTGTTACAGTCATGCTGATGTCTGAGTGCTTTGCCCACCTGCAATGCTTAGAAAGAGTAAGTCCTCAATGCATAGAATGTTTTGAGGCTTCAACTGAAAGAAAAAAATTCTTTATGTGCACAGCAAGATGCTGAAGTTGCTGGCATAGCAGGCTGATCTTGTCTTCCAGATATTACACAGAGGCTGTGATTCTTCTGTCTCCTGTTCTTTTAACTGACTCAAAGACAAAGGCCACTCCAACTGTATCATGTGATACTGATGTGAATGTGTCATGTGAGGCATGTGCCTCTGTGCCAAATCAGTGGAGCGTTTTTTGATAAAGAATAGCAAGTTTGTTAGATAATGTAATTCATTGTAACTTAGTATACAAAGCAGTGTGAACAAATGGCACTGCTCCTCAGTGGCCATAGGCATGTGGCAGTTAAGGGATGTGAAATTTGTAGAGCAAGATGTACACAAGTCTGTCATGAATGTATGCTGCTAAATGGCTGTTCAGAAATGAGCCACAGACAAAATGAAGTAATGTGTTAAGGGAATGCAAAGAAGCAGCTGTGGCATTCAGACTTAAGAAGTGTGGAAGGTGTAGAATTATGTGCCTGGGGGTACAAGTCAGCCTTTAGAGAAAGCTAGTTTCTGTGGAGAGGTTATTCTGTAATTTCAGACTCTGGTCAGGTAACAGGCAGGATGAAGAACTGTATGGACAAGTGGTCTGCTGTGGCAAGAGGTTTCCTGTAATTTTTTACTTATCCTGCATCTCATTCCCTGTCCTATCTTGACCAATTGTAGAAATATACGGTCCTGTGAATGCTGTGTGTGACCTGTGGAGTTTATATGAAAATGTGTGCACACTATGGTGATTCTAGTTAGATTTGTACTAATAAGTTATTTCTGTTAAAAAAAAAAAAACTTACAGTAAAACTATTTTCCAAGATTAGCCCAGAACCAGGTTCTATGACTCGTTAAAATAGTAAGAGCTTTGGAGTGATAAACTGAGCTAGATTTTTCACATGCTGTAATTAAGGTTTGGAATACTTTTAGAATTAATTTTCATTACTGAATTATTCCAATCATGTTACAGTGTCATTTCCATAGTAATTTTTGTATGGCAGAAACATTTCACTGCTCAAAATAGTTTATCAGAACTTTTTCTGTAATTAGCAGTCAAAGAACAAATCCCTAGCACACTGGCCATAATTCTAATAAAGAAAAGAGTGGAACAGCTAGAGAGGTCTCTTCTCTTCTGCCTTTACATACCCAATTGTGGTAGAGGGCATTGGGCTAGGACTAGGGACCCTAGTTGGCCACTGTAGTTCTTTGTTGTCACACTCCAGTCACTGACTTTCTCTTTGGTATTGTTTCAAATGCTAGTCTGCCTGTAGAAATGTTATAATATGTTCTTTAACAATTTTTTTTTTGTTGCAGTCAGTGGGTTCCTCTCATTAGAATCTTGTTTTATTTTCGTTGTATGTATAAGCTGTGTAAATGCACAGGGATGTGTCTCCCTTTGTGCTTTTAGGTGGGGCTGTACTGAAGTGTTTCTGTACAAATGTAGACATAACTTTTCAAAAATGCATCTTACATTGTATATCTGGGTTTTGCAATTTGTATTCTTTTCACTGGAATATTAGAACTCTAAATCAGGTAGATCATGAACTGTACTGAATCTGCACACAAGGTGACAGAAGTTAGTTGGGGTCTGATATCTCTGTTGAATCACTGGAAATGTCTTGTGTCTCCAAAGCGTTTTTCCCCTCTCAAGTTTTGCGTGTTAGTTTCTCCTCTGTGTTTGTTTACTGTACTTAAGAAGCAATTTTGGAAAAGAAAACAGCTTTCTTCAGTCCTACAGTTATATAGCCATAAGTTTAATGTTAAAATTTATTAATGGGTCATGTTATATTTAGATTCTTACTATCCTGAGCTGTTTTAAATATTGCTTGAACAAAGTATGTTAATAACACACAGATAGCCTCTGTAAGCCATAATGGTAAACAGCATTTATTTTTTAACCTAAGACTTTTGAAGTATATTCTTTCTTGTGATGAAAAGTTCTCAAAAGGCATTTCAACAGACACTTTGAAGTTTGATATTTTGGCATACAGTGCCTTATTACAGAAAAACATATTATCGCCAAATTAGTATAATTTAAGTTATAATCTCTTTGTTACACTTTAACAAAATACTGTAGAAGTTCAGAGGTTTAGAAAATACTATTATGTAGCTATAATTGTTCTTTTTGTACACTTTTTCTTATCTTTTATTGCTACCAATTTTTTTATTCTTTTTTTTTTTAAGTTGACAGTACATCTTAATTTTTTTGTTTTGACTGCCTTACTGGTTTCCTTCTCAGCATAACAACAATGACCATGCAGCTATGTCGGTAAGTAGATGCAAGATGAAGAAAAAGCATGTGAACAGAAAAACTATGAACTGCCTGCAGGCTTATTGCTTCAATTTTTAATCATTTAATAAAAAGACACTTTCTGTTTTGCTGATAACTTGCTGTGTACCTTGTGTGGATGCATGCAGGGATCAAGTTAATGACTAACATTGGGCTTTCATACACTGGGACAGACAGCAGGAGTCCTAAAAACCTTGCAGAAGGTTGATGGGGTGTGCCTTGCATCCCAAATGAGGTAATTTAGAGACTGAGACCTCATGAAAGAGAGGTCAGGTATCAAAATACAGCTATGAGACATGCATACAGAATTAGGATAGAGTGATATAGCTGAATAAAGTAATCAGTGAAAGTTCTGTCGTTCCTCTGCTACATTTGTCTGGGGTCAGGGGAATGTGTGTACTGGTGTTCTTTATTTGCTTTTCCAATTTTTTTTAAAGAAGCTGATGAATTTAAGAATTCTCCTATCCCCTGGTTATTTTCGCATTGTAATTTTTTTCGTATGGCATAAACATTGTCATGATAATGAAAGCGATGAGGTTATTACTAAATTATTAAAGCTGGGGAATGAATCTAGCAGTGGGCTCCCAAGTTGTTCAGAGCCTAGAGCACAAGTTATTAGTGGAGCTGTAGGGAGGTGGAGGATTTAGTCTGTTAAAGAGAAGGCTGAGGAGAGATCCAGTGGCAGCCTACAACTTGTTGAAGAACAAATACAAAACTGGTGGAGCCAAACTTCTTGGTTGGACTGACAAATTCAGACGTAGCTGTGGTCACAGGTTGAAGCTTGGGAGGTGGAGCTTTGATATTAGAGGGAAGATGTGCTTAAAGAGAGTAGTGCAGTTTGGAAGGAGATTGCACAAAGAGGCTGCTGAGTTCCCATCCTCTGCTACTTTGAAGGGTCTAGGAAAAAAGGTCTATGGACCTGAAGTAGTGTTGGCAGCAGTGCTCCAAGTAAAAGGTTGGACTAGATGACAATGTTGGTTCATTCCAATCAACACTTCCATCATCTGAATACTCAGCATGCTGGTGAACTGTCAAGCTAATAGGTGTCATGAGCTCTGTGTTTTGTATAGAAATGTTTCCTGTTAGTATTGTATAGGTCTCAGGCTGCTGGTTATTTCATGACTGAGGGCTAACAGAATTTCAGCAATGTAGGACACAGAAGCTGTGTGGCTTTGGGGAGGTTATAATTAGAAAGTCATGCAGTTTTTAATGGTTCTGTTTTCTGAATTCACAAGAATTTAGTCTTTTGGGATTATGTTTATGTCCCGTTTTAAATTAGTCTTGCAGTTTATAGTGCCATTAGATGCTTTGAATCAAACAGCAAATTAAAGTTTCATTATACAGCCATTAATCTCATGAAATAAAATGGATGATCGAATTTGTTATTAAGAAACTACCTTTTTTAGTTTTGTTTTGAAGAGTTAGGGAAAAATGTTTCCTTGTATTTCCAGATCAGTTAACTCGAAATTATGTGGGCCTATATGTAAGTGGTTTTAATCTAAGTTTAGAATTAGCTGAAATTTTATTCTAGATATGTGCCTAGTCAATACAAAGTTGGAAAAGAGTGACCATTGAAAAGAGACTGTTGCAAATTACTTTCAGTTAGGTATTTTTAATTGTTTTGGTAGCATTTGGGGCAGAGACTGGAAGTAAAATTGATTCTTAAAAATTCCATTCATGTTTTTATCATACTTGTATTCTATCAATAGTTCAAAAGTTGGAGTTTTTGACCTTGAGTGATAAAATTTGTATGTTTAATTTATTTGCATTTTCAGAAAGAATAACATTATGTTATTTCATATTGCTATATTAATTCTTCACCTTAGCATCTTAGATTTAACGGGTAAGTTTTTTATTTTCTTTTTATGCTGAGGATGGCAGTTTGTGTTATTTTATTGTTTCTGTGATTGGCAGCAAAAGCCTAATTTCACAGCTTGCAGTGAGGGTGAAGGGGTGGTGGTTTTCTGCAGCTATATTCAAAAACTGTCAATCAACAGCCTCCACAGGCTACTTAGAGAATGGGTTTTCTTACTGACTTCTCCAACTGCTGCTTCATGCTGTCTTTGATTGGCACAGCCTGGCAGGGAGGATGGATGAATCTGTCACTGGCTGGTTAATTGTGTTGCTGGTCTCAGCCTGACATCAGGTCTTTGACTCCTAAGTGGCTCAATACAAAACAAATTAGCAGATTGTAGTCATATTTCTCATTCTATATGCTTTGACTTTGTTGAATGCAGTCCATAAATCATATTGACTGACACCATAGTGAATGATGAAAGCTGCTTTTGAGACAGCTAGCATGGGCTTTAGAAAGCAGCGCCGCGAAGGTGCCGTGGAAGGATGCATATGGCTGACCCTTTGGGAATTTCCTAGGAGCCAAATGTCTCTTTACTACAATTGTTCTTAGGAGAAAAGCTTTTGGGTCCTATAAAAAAGGATTTAATATGTCAGCAGATTCTCTTTACAAGCTCCTTTGAAATATAAGAAGTTTGTCTAAGGGTTTTCTCTTTTTACAAACTTGTATTTCAGCAAAATGTGGAGGCTGGGTGAAAAAACAGTTGCCTTTAACACTGTTAGCAGGTGTTTTTGAGTATAGAATAGGGTCCTTGTTTCCTAAACTTTACACTGATTGAGTGGAAGAATAGGTTTTGTAGATAGGAGCAATTAGCATAGGCACAGCAGAGACAATAGTAGTGTCTCCAAATGGGTGGCAACTGGGGCAAATGTGAGAAGCCTGCTGAATCTCTGCATGCTGTTGAATATAGGTATTTAATTGCTAGATAACCATGGCCACCCCCACCCCCTTAAATAATAATTGTAATTTTAAAAGGCGAAAAACCCAAACATCAAGACTGTTTTAAAATTAGCTGATATTTGTTCAATCCTGAAAAATAAATGTTATTGCTATGTTCACAAATCCTTATATTTCCTCTTCAAAATGCTTTATGAAAATTTGGCAAGGAATTGATGATGTGGTAGATGTTGGAAATTTGGAGATGAATTTTTAACTAGATTCTATTTTTCAAACACAAATGTTAATTTTATTCTTTTCTGGGTATCATATATCCAATGTAATTTGAACTGGGAAGCCCTGAATTTTGAAGAGGATAACATAGTATAGTTCACATTTCTCTTAGTTAAAATTCAGCATTTTGATAAATATGCGTAGCTTTGTTTTTTCTCTAAATTGGAGACTATTAAGTGTTTTTTAGTATATATCTACTGTGTATAGTAAACTTGTAGTATTTGTTGATGTATCATTTGAACAATAAGCCTGTAGTTCAAGTTACATAGTTGGAAATAGTTTATATGTTAGGATGTTTCCATTTTATGAAACTTCAAAACCAACATTAAATGTACATGTATTGATACTTATTTAAAGTCCGAGTGGCTTTAGCTGTGTCATTTTTGTATTGTAACCATTATCTTGTGCTCCAGTACTATTGATATTTGCCAGAATGTAACAATTAACTACACATGCTTGTTAGAAATATAAAATTCTGTCATTTATTTAAGATAACAGATGAGTACACTTTGTTTCCATATGAAATAAACTGAATGTTAAATTTTTTCATGACAACCTATTAATCTGGTTGAACTTTTATTACATTACAGTGGCAGCATAAATAGGACATGGAGCTGATTTGATGGAGCAGTACATTAAACAGAGATGCACTAGTTGTTCCATTAAATCAAAATGACATTTCCATTAAGTATTTCAAATGCACTACACTGTAATTACATGAACTGTGGCCCATTTAGTCCCCTTCTCACCTCCCTTTTTCCTTCCTTTTTTGCCTATTCTTTTTTTCTTCTTCCCCCCCCCCCCCCTTCCCCCCCATTCATATTGATATTGTTCTGCTGGGGGAATAGAGCTGCATGTCTCCCAGTATAATTGCTGTTGGGTTTGGGAGACTTTTAAGCATGCTGTTCTTGTATTGTTTCCTACATTCTTTGTTGTCAGTTCATCTATTTTGCTCAAATATGTTATTTGCTTTTCTGAGATTTTCAATTAAGAAACTGACATGTCATTTTAGATAAAAAGCTCCTTACAGTTCAAGGTGTCCTAATGCTAGAAAAGAATTAGCAGCAGCCATTTAATGTTTCAGTGTGAATGTGAGGAGGGTTGAAGGCTTTCTATTGAATTCATTATATTTTAATTACCTTTTAACAACTAATGGATTTTTAAAGCGTGAAATATTTGGGGCCAAATTTGCTTTCTGTTATGAAAATTTTCTGCACATGAAAGTTCAATCATCTTAGCAAGTTGACATATTAAGGACAAGATCTGGCTCTTCAGATGCTGGAGCAGAACTTTCCAAACTTTTTGGGACAGTGAACTGTCCATTACAGTTGTTCATTATTTATATTCTGGGAGTCAACAGTGAATTGATCAACCTGACTTTGCAGAAAACAGCTGGGGAGCCATTACTGTAGAGAAGCAGGTGACATCACTGTACTAATGGATAGAAGTAAAACAATAGTGCCGTGTGCTCCAGTAGCTCTGTTATGTTATTATGATTTCTTTTGTGTTAATGTGTTGTTATCTTTGTTTCAATATCATTGTAACACACCCATCAGTTGAAAGCAGTGGTTTCAGTACATTAATCTACAGAGATTCTTGTAGTTGCATTTGACACCTAAGATCACTCTGTTTTAAGAGATGGCAGTGCTGTGAATAGAATAGTGCCATCTGGTTTGGTATCTGGTCTCAAGTGGTTTTCTTAACTTTAAGGTAGAATTTTGTTATCTTTAAATTTTTCTGTACTAAATTTTAAATAATTTATTCAGGTTAATGTCAGACTTTGTGTTTTGTTTTTTGATCTCATGTTGGGAAAATTGTCTCAGTTACATGTAGATGATGGGGAGAGCAATATTGCCAGCTAGACTGTGATTGGGAAATTATTTCTATTTTGTACAGCAGAGGGCTACATTTCATTTTGTACGTAGTTGATCGCTGACAGCACTGATTTATTAAGCACCTGAGATGATGGATAAGCATGAATTTTTAAAGTAATTCAGCAACAAACTTTGAGATGGAATCTGAGCAGTTAAACTACCAACAATTAGCACAAACTCTTACAAGAAATGCCTCAACCAATTGCAGTCATTTTGGTTTATGTAAAGTTGGGGGTTTATTTAATTTGCTATTGTTAAAAATATGCTGCATGTTGGTTTTCATTACATTCTTGCTTTCATTCTGTTTGGGTTAAAAATATTTAAATAAATCCACAAAGCTGTTCATGTGCTTCAGCAACTTTAATTGCCATTGTTTTGGAAATGTCCTTGTATTTGTGAAGACTGTTGGATTACTGGAAGAAATATCAATAATTGTTTTAACATCTATTTAATCTAATTCTCTGTTTGATCTAATAGAAACAAATCTAATAGGTCGAAGAAATAACAGGAAGTATGATCTCTCTCCTTCTAATCTAAGTTTTGTATCATTAAGACTTAGAATGTATATTAAAATCCAGTCAGATCAGCAATTCTTTAGTGATGTATCATTTGTTTCGATTGTAAAACTTGTTGCTTTTTCTACTAGGGAAAAGTGGCCCAGACAGCTTGCATGTCAGCCTGCCAGCATCTTTCAATGTCCCTAATGCAGATGCTACTGGACAGTGAATTAAAACAAATAAGCATGGGAGCAATTCAGCAGTTTAATTTAGATGTGATACAGTGTGAATGTAAGTATATATTCCATCTGTATTTGTCTTAACATTGAAAAAAGTTACTTAGTGTAAGCTATATCATGATCCTTTTCCATAATCTACTAAAACTTTGTCTTTTATTGAAAGTAATATTACAGTACATCTTCTTGTAAAAGTATTTATAAGTAAGTATGTTGGCATTCCTGGGATTTTTTTTTAATGCAACTTTTCTTTTAACTAAAATACCTAAATTGAAACAACATTGTTGTTACTCCTAATGGGGTCATAACCACTATATCCAGTAAAAATTTAGTTTAGTACAAAATTGCCCAAAAGTACTACATAAATATTAAGTTTTAATGGTTAGGAAAAAAAAGTCAAATGTCTGTAAAATTCTGATGTTTTCTCTTGAGTTCATCTATTATGATACAGATATTTAAATGTGCTGTTATGTAGGGTTTTCCTCACTCCTAGAACTGCTACTGCCTTACTGTGCAGAATAGTAGTACTCATTTAGTAAACATTGGATGTTTTCTTACTGTCACTGTTTAAATATGGTATCAGAGTTATTTTGTAAACTGGTTCAATACAGCACTGAAGGCAGGATTAATTACCTTGTGTTTTGCATGGAGCTTGTGGCTCAGGGTGAGCTGTTTATCTGTAGGAAGGAAGTTCCATGAATAGGTGTTAGGACTGTATAGTTGGTGGCTGAGATACAGTGGAAAGGCTCACTAGAGATTTTTTCAATTTGTATTTTCAGATTCTTCTCCTCTGTTGTTTTTTTTTTGTTTTTTTGTTTTTTTTTTTCAAAGTATCTTTGCTGTTATGTATTTGAAGCACAGAACTCAATGATTTTGTTGACAGCTGTGAAATGGGGCAGTTATTCAAGTCATATCCTGAGGCTTTTAGTTTGGATACATGAAAAAAATTGGTGACTACTCCATTAAAAGCCACCTATGGGAAACTGAAAATTTAATTTCAAGCAATTTGGTTAGCATCACAAAAGGTTCTTGTGGGACAGACTTAGGGGTGTTTTTGTCATTTTAACCATATACTTGTTTTTTCTTCTCCTGCTTTGTTACATTCCAGCTCAATTCAGTAACAGGTAGAGCAGGCATTTTTCTGACAGTCCCTCACTGTCCAGCCTTAAGGCCTTTCAGGGTATGGAACAATCTGAGAGGACTACCAAGGTCAAGTTGATAGAATATTTGTGATTGTGACATTAAAATTCCGTGATTGTACAAGTTAACCAAGCAGATCATGGTTTGACTTTTCTTACTTCTAGTATGCTTGATGTTGCAAATTTATTAGTGTACTTTTCAGGTAGGTACATGGGAGTGTGTTCGTGCATTTGTGTAGTTTCCTATATGTAAAAAAGCTACCAGTTGTTAAAAGAGAAATTATACAGTATTCATAGCACTGACATCATAATCATTCATCTTAACAAGCTGAATTAATGGAAGCACTAAACCATCATGTGCCTTCTGAACACATGGTGTAACAGTGAAGAAAACTTGTCCATTACAGTATTACTCTGTTTCTAATATTTAAAATATCAGCTGTGAACAACACAATACTTCACTACTCTCTGTAGATGACTAATGCCCTGTTTCACCCTGGGATTTCTAGCAGTACAGGGCTAAAATGAATATCTTGCAGGTGACTTTCACAGTATGAACAGTATGTTCACAGCAAAGAAGGGGAAATTCCACTGTTTCCAGCTGTCATCTGGTCTTTGGCTTGTTTTCAGACTGTTTTCTTCTCAGGCAAAGGCTGATATGTGCCCTGATTTGTGTCATCCTAATTTCTATTGCCATTCTTTCTACCATCTTTGGTTGATGCACAGCAGAAACTTCATCAGTGAAGAAATCTTAGTAGAGTTTTATTTAGTCTAAAATGATATTTCATTATTTTAAAATAAAAAAGTAATATAACTGTAAGACGACATGGTTTTTCATATGTAGCTGTTATTCTGAGTATATGGCATGGACAGGACATACCCAAGCTTTGGCCAAAATAAGAAAGTTTCATAAAGCTAGTAACATAAAAACTGAAAAATACATTCTTCCACCACTGTGTAATTTCTAGCATGGGCTGTACAAGGCTGATAGAATGAACTTAATTTCTTCCTGTGTGAAAAGCTTTTAAAGCATGTTAGGAAAAAATTATTTTGCACAGAAACCCTTTGAGCAGTTTAAATACAATTATGGAAGCTTGTCAGAGTAGTGTGTTGCAACAAACCACATTTTGCAGTCTGTGGAATAAAGGAGTGACACAAGATTTTGCTCAGACTGCTTTGCTGATGTGGTTTCATTCATAAGGTCCATCACAGGCACATTCCAGGCCTCACAGTGATGCCTGTGATTTATGTTCTTGCTCATCACCCTCCCCCAGCTTTATTCTTTGATGCTTTGGGATTAATGGATACGACAGTGACATTTCAATTAGTGCTTAGAGTGGGCGAATAATTCACAACTGTTGGGAGTTTTCTACTGTATTGTATTAATGGGTTTGACATTTTACTTACAATGGAGTATACTCAGATGAATTTTGAACTAAGAATTTAGATGACGTGTAGAAAATTATTAATATCTGAAGGCAAACTTTTAAAAGTTCTTGCCAATATTGTAGAATTTTTTTTCTGATCTTAAACATTATAATTTTACTCTTTCTAATAGGAACTGGAGAGATCTAAATAAAATCAGAAAAATATGATAATTTGTTAGTTTTTTTCTTTTCTGTTTAAAAACAATGAACAGTCCAAACAACAATCCAGCAATCTGTTAAAGTCAGTAAGTTCTCTTCTTAGAAAAAAGAGTCATCATCATCTCACTCTTCTTCTAGCATGTTTTTTGTTTCCTTCCAAATGATCCAAAAAGATTTCAGTTTTATTTTAGTTTGTCTTGTTCTAATGAAAGTATTTCTCTACTTCCTCTGCAAATTTTATAACCTAGAGCAGTGTTTTACCCCTGTATTTTGTACCATTCTTTCTTAGTGCTTATTTTCACTAGGATGATTGAGATTCTTGAAGCACTGTTCAGAAAATAGAACGTACTAAGTCACATTGAATAAAATCCAAAGAGTGGTCTTTTGCTTGAATATTACATTTTGGTTCCCCAAGGAAGGAAATGGGTTGGGAAGGGGGTGTTTCTGTTTCTTGAAGATGAAATTCAAATGTGGGTTACTGTATTTCACTTTACAGGAAGAAAGGTGTGCATAATAAAAAATTAGCTTTTCAGAGGCACCATCCAGATCTACTTAGCTTACATCAGCTTCTTATTAAGGAATTCGAACTTGTCTAAAGTTGTGGTTGTTGGAAGAGCTAAATGTTTTTTGTTTTTTCTTACTTACGTATTTTAACATAGATGAATTGTGAGGCAGGATTAGTTAACAGAATGAAATACGGGTGAGTGAGCATCCTTCTTCACCCAGATATGAACGGGTGAAAAGGTTTTGGGTCTTGCCTGTAAGCAAGCAAGGGTTAGTGGAGAGAAAATATTCTGTATTTTCCTGATCAGCCCCCTCTGTATGGCTTCCTGGCAGTCCCTCCTTTCCCCCACTGCGTGGGGAGTGGCGGTGTCCAAAAGCAAGTGACATCCTGACCAAAGTGTTGTCTCTCTGCTGAGCACCAAAAGTGGTCTCCAGGTGGGCATGCCAGAAGCTGGGGAACCCCGATCGATGCTGTATTTCCTTGAAAAGGCACATACTCTTCGCTGGAGGCCCCTTGCTTTACGCCCCTCTGGGCAGGCAGGTTAACCTCACTGGCTGGAGGCCATCCTTCATCTGCTGCTCGCATGTGGCAGCGCGGGGGCACAGGAAGCACAGAGACCTTGCTGGCACGGGGGGCTGCTGCCTGGCCAGCTGGCAGCTCCCTCAGCAAGGCTCCCTCCAGGCCTGTTTGAACAGCTGGAGCATCCAACAGGGCTGCAAAGTGGCTGAGATAGTCGCCTGATTCTTTGCTCTTCCTTTAAAAATACTCCTGTAGCTTTGCTGTCCCGCCTGTGAATCAGTGCTATGAGGCTGGAGGTAAACTGTCCTCATTTAGCTTTTGATTCAAAGTCTGGACTTTGGTTTTTCATTTCTTCACTGAACAGCAAAACTATTTGTCAAGAATTAGGTTCTGAATTCCCAGACCAACAGAGAGGCACAACCAGATGATGCCTAAAAGATGGGATTTTGAGCCAATAAAATTAAGAGACCTGTTAATAAATCTAGAATTGTGTAGAAATTCAGTGCAATTTACAGTTAAAGATATCTTAAATTCCATTTAGTAGATACAGCCTTTATCTTAAGATCTCCATTAATACATATATGTATATATGTCAATTCTCATATATCCTGTATACAAAATGTAATTATAAGATCAAAGCAAAATATTAAAAAGAAAATGGACTGAAGTAATCTTTGCAACATTTATATTAATCATTATAATTTATTTATAAATAATTTATAATCCCAGCCTATTTTTGTATATTTATTTCATTTGATCCTATCTTCTTTATATTTCTAAACTCTCTGTTACAAGGAATTATGTTGAGATTGAACATACTGAGGACCCACATTGTTCTTGTTCTAAATATACAGTATCAGCAAAGCAGAGGAAGAGAAGATGTTAACAAAAACCTTGTGCATACCAGAGTCATATAATGTATATTTTCAACCGATTTTTTCCAAATATTTGAGTTTTGATTCAAACTGCCAAACAGCCAGTTGTTTGCCCCTAAGAGTGACAGTTTAATAGTGATCTTTGCATTTCATTCTGCTATATTATAAAATTCCAGAATGTTTTTATGCACATTAAGCCAAACAACAACCAGCCCCCTACCCCTGCAAATCCTCTTTAAGCCTAGAATGATTGTAGGGGGTGAATATTTTAAAAGATGTATATATGACAGTGTTTCATTACTATCTAGAAAAGGGCCCTTAGGACAAAGACATTAAGAATGTTAATCCTGTTCTTATATCTTCCTAATATGCTGTGCAGTAGAAAATATTTAATTAGCTTTGTAAAATTGTTAGCAAAACTTAAAAGCCCTGTGCTGAGGGTGGAGGGGGAACTGTCTGACTGTTACCATAAGTAGATTATCTTTTTGCCCTCTGAACTCATGAAATTATAATAATGAGGCAAATTCTATTGTAGTCACCTGTCAGAATGTTCCAAATGTGAGAATAAATGTTTGTGCTATAATGAGTGTCCCTAATGTTGTAAACGCATTCGTAGTATAAAATTGTAGTTTAAGAGAACAAAGCTTGTACAACAATTAGGTTTGGTACATTATGTACTTCTTGTTCTACAGCTGCAATGCTACTAGGTATTAAGTAGAGAAACGTAATTATTCTGTATTATTTAATGCATTGGGATAAATTCCAAACTCTCTTAGCTTGATGAGCACATAAAAGATGCAAATATTTGCCCCGTGGCATGTTAGAGTATTCTGCTGTAGGAAGATATCTCCTGAAGTGTAAAGTGCCAAAAGCTAACTGAAACGACTTTCCAACGGTCACACTTTTCAGTTCTATTTATTTTTCAGTTCTGTAACCCTTTTTTTGCCATTCATCTTCTTTCTCCCAGTGCTAGCTATAATTGTGGAGTAGCTGGAAGAGCTGAGATTCTGGTGGGGGAAGCTGATGGCAGTGTACTATCTAAGAACAGAAAGTTAGGATCAGATCAGATGATCTGGTGGGCCTTACCTTTCTGCTTTAAGGGGTGTAGAAAAGACCCCTTCTGACCACAATGCATATCCTCCTTATTAATGTGCTACCATAGCTCACAACTCATGTATCTCTTATCTCCTTGCTGTGGAGCTTTGCTTAGGATTCCCTGCTGGAGTGTGGTGTTCTGTTTTAAACTCTGGCTTTGGCTGACCTCAGAGCTCAGCTTTGCTGTCCTTAGAAAGGGTGTTCCTAGTGGCCATGAAATACCTGCAGAGGACAGCCATGTAGACAGACACACAGGCCTTCAGCCTAGGCTGTGCAGTAGGGTACCAAAGGTTCCTAGGCTTAGGCATCTTTCTAATTCTGAAGCCTGGTGATTGTACAAGCTGTTTTGTCTTTCCTGATTTAAAGAGTTTATGATGAGAAACCTCTCCCTATAAAATACTGAGTGTAAGGTTATGTTTTTTCTACTGTTTTCTTTCTTTTTTTTTTTTTGGGCATGTTTGTGGTCAATTAAAATTCCATGAAAACGCCTCTAGAAAGTTGGTGTTACTTATAAAGTAGGAGGACCAGACAATTTAAAATTCACACTTGAATACAGTAATCAGTGAGCATTTGCCAATGTTACCAGTACTTGTCTGTGACATTACAATGGTCTCCCTAAGGCATTTGATTGGTTTTTTTTTTCTTTAGTTGATAAAGAATAAAGTTCTATTGCAGTTGAATTCATTCTCCTATTACATGACTCTCATAAAATAACTTTTGTACTAGTGTAGTACAAGTAATAAATTCTACTTCTACTGGTAAAGCTGCTACTCTAATACCATATCCATCTATTACTAAGCTATTTTAAAGTATTCTGAGATGGTCCTAGTAGTTTCTTGTACCATTTAAGTAAGAGTCTTTATCTAAAATTGTGTTCCATGTAGTCTTTTTTAGACTTGTGAAATAGTCCATCTGAATTCATTAGTCTGCTTTAGGTTGAAACCATACATTCAGAAGTAAATGTTTGACACCATTATTTTACCATCATCTTAGCTCAGACAGCAGCGGTTTTCTGAATTTTACCTCCAACATAATCCATGTTTTTTAACTAGCCATTTAAGAAAATATATTGAGGATTTCATATAACTTCTAAATGTTGGTATTAAGAACAGTAGAGTTTAGCACTGGGTCTGGAAATTGGATACATTTGTTTTGTTTCCTCTACCATTGAATGACCTGTTTCTCAAACTTGGAAAAAATATTACCTTTCACTGCCTTGGATACTCCTCTCTAAAGCTGTTGCAGTAGTATCTACTTTGTTTTGTTGAGAGTTCTACCTGAAGGGCATAAGAAAAATACTTTCAAGTTCTTTTGAAATAAGATATCTAAACTGAGTGAGGATGTGAGGCAGCGGTTGTTTGTCTTTGTTACTAACTTGTGACTGGGATAATAACAACAAAAAGTGTATTTATTCTAAAGTTTAACAACTATTGATCTTTTCCTAGTTTATACAAGTAGTTGACTTTCTTTCACTTTCTGTGTTGCCATTTTTTGTATTATGAATATTTATTTTTGCTTGCCAATTTTGACAGCCAATTTTGGGTTCAGAATGAGCAGAAGTTCATTACAGATAAGCAGGCTAAAAGGCATGAGCAAGCATTTCAGCTCTGCACTGACCATGGCATGTAGGGCTTTCTACCTGTTGTCTACACATGAAACCAACTCCCACTTTAGTGTTTGTCTTTTAATGATGTTTGGCTGGAGGTGAAGGTTTGCTGTAACAAAGGCAGATGTCTGAAAATACATTGACAGCCATGGAATTGGTATTATTTTGAAATTCTTCAGTAATCATGCACCTCAGGCTAAAAAATATCTTGGTTTCTGTGGTTGTAGTATTACTACTGGGTTAGAACTTGAAGCAAAATTTCTAATAATACTCCTAAAAGTATTATTCTTTAGGATTATGGGAAAAACTGTCAAAAGGTTGTTTGTTGATTTGTTTGGTTTAAATCACTGTGAGTTGTTAAACTTTTCCTATGAAACTATGCTACTTAGCATTTATATTGCATAGAGCTTGATTTTTCTGTTAGACTAAAAAAAATAAATCTACATCCGTAATATTTTAACCTTTTTTTTGCAGTGTTTGCTAGTTCTGAGCCTGTGCCAGGATTCCAGGGAGACACCCTGCAGTTAGCTTTCATCGACCTCAGACAAGTAAGACACTAGTTGGTGTTTTTTATCCTTCTAATTTCCCCTTCTGACCAATGCTGAAGTTATTAAATTCAAGAACCTTTCATGGTTTTGCATTCCCATGTAATTAGTTGTGAAAAGCAGTTATTTGAAGTGTTGTTAGTGGCACTATTCCCTGTAATTTAGTATAAAACTGTTTCTCCAGTGTGAGGTTAGGGGGCACTGTGCTACTGGTAGTACTGTTACGAGACTACTGGATTGAATTTTGGTCCTGACAATTTTGTGAAGATCCTGTGATGTCTTTTTGCAAGAGTGTACGTGTCATCCTGGTGTGTGCTGGTCTGATTGCATTGTGAGCATTTGCTCCTGTCTACAAAACTACTCTCTGGATAGCAGAATCAGGCATCGTATTATTTAACATTTCCTTTCCTGAATTTGTTGCGTAGAATTCTTTTAAATTGTTGGAAAGCAGCTTTATTCCAACTGGATGATCTTTATTCTACATAAAATTTAATTTAATTATATTTTAAATGCTGTAATATTGGAAGCACTTTTCCACAGATTTTGCCAAAAGGAAAGTTTTCCCAGACCAAAATGTAGTAAAATCGTGTCAATTTGGACATTATAACCACCATAATAAAGGATCTTCAAAACATTTTCATGCTTGAAGTTAGCTTTTTCAAAGGATTTATTATTTCACAGAATTGTAATTGTAAGTATCATATAAATAGTGAAATGAATCATTTACCGCACATGGAGGATCTTTACCCTTCTGCAGATGTTGGTGATATTTTTCAGTGCCATTATGAGCCTATCAAAGTCATTAAAAAATAAGAGAAAGTAGAAAGAATTCTATACCAAATACCAAATTATCTATATAGTAAGAATATTTTTGCTTTTAATAATTTAGTAGGTTTTTCACAACAAGATTATTTAAGGGCATTTCAGAGGGGAAGCTTCCTGAGGCAAAAGTATTCAGATTACTCGTGGTAGTTAGAAAGGACTTAGTAAAATATTGTGTCCTTTTCAAATGAAAAAACTAAAAGCTAGGGTTGTCTGTTACATCCTCACAGTAATATAATAATGAACAATATCTACAGTGAGTAAGAGTGTAAAATGTGAGAAGGATACAGGATTATGGCTACAAGACTTGTTCATGCCACAAGTCTTGTCTTGACTAGCAGCCTTCCTCTTTTGGATTCTCTTTTAACTCTGTTTTTATTGTCAGTGTTAAAAGAGACTAAACATCTTCCAATTTGTACTTAGATCATTTCATTTGAAGGGAAAGGATGTTGAGATTTTGGCACCATTTCTGTCATTTGCCTAAGTGGAGTCCTTGCAGAGCCTATGTTTGTTTCAGGGGAAGACATGATTTCCATATATGCAGAGGGCAGGGTGTGTACATACTTGGCTACAGGAAAGAAAGATTTTCCTATGTTTTAAGCACTAACTGGGGAGTATATCACTTAAATAGATATTATGTTGTTTATGATAACAACATAAATTCTCTCAAGCGCATTACAGAGGATGCTCTGTAGTTCATGTGAATTTGATTGACTTAATATACTTTATAACAGGAAAAGTTTGAGCAACTCTCTATTGGGTTGCAGCTGGAGCTTGCAGATGTAGAACAGTTCAAGCATATTTGATTTGGTTTGGTTTTACTATATTTTTGTGTGCATCACCAAAAGGTATTTCAAGCACACATCAAAAACTTCTACCATTTAGTAAGGATTTTCAGTGCTTTCCCTCTTCTCCTTATTTGTGATGCATTTCTGTCTTAATAGGGTAGATGACAGTTCTTTTCAAGAATACTTAGAAAGGCAACAGAGCCTTTTTCAGAAGGTTCTTATAAAAGGTCATGCTTCTGTTTTTTAGTTTGAATTTGATACTTCTTCATGAATTGCAGGATATGAAAGATAAGGAAGTCGGTCCAGTGGTCAGGTTTTACCTGCCCACCCGGACTGTGCCCTGAGGTCAAACTCCTGGTATTGGCTGTTTGGTACAGAGGAGCTGATGACAGGTAGGGGCTGATACAAGGGGGAAAGCTTGAACCGTATCAAAGCTAAAAGCCAGGAGATTTGGGACTCAGTGAGAGACTGTAGCTAAAAGATGGATCAGCAGGATTGCCCTCTTCTTAAAAAGCAGCTGACCTGCAAGGGAAAAGACTTTATCGTCCTGCCAATCACATGGTTGCTAATGGAAGCCAGTTATCTCAACAACAGCTACTCACTCTGTGCTGTACCAGTGCAGTGGGTAAGATTAAGGAGGATTGGGCAGTAGCATATTCTAGCACGTTTTACTAACGAAGTAAAGTCACTTACAGGGAGCCAGCTTGGAAGACAGAGAGAGGAGCTACACCTGAATGATTACCATGTAGGGAGGACCAGCTTTGAGAAGAATTGTCATAGGTATTTTCAACCTATGTTGAAATACCAGTTCTTGATCCTCTGTCTTTCCCTGGAGACAATGTGTAGGCAGCATGTTGCCCCCGGCAAGCCCACTTTCCTTCTTCCTCCCACAGACATAGAAGAGCAAACAGAAACAGCTGGCCCAAGAAAGAGTTGTGCTTAAGAAGACAACAGTAATTAGTAGCAGGAAGCTCTAAGAGGACAGAAATCACAAAGGAGCAAGCCCTAACCAATGTCCCATTTGAGCCACCTCTGTCTCTATACTATTCTCCACTCAGGCTTTTGTCATACTTAACATGCTCTTTAAAGATCTCTGTAATCTGAAGAAACCCTAGTCAATAAAGATTTTTGTGCTATTTTTATCACCACAGTATCTCAGCATCTTACACAAGTGACTTGGTGGGGTTAGCTGATCCCACTTGATCATCTAGAAAGAAACCTGCAGTTCCAGCTAGTTTAGCAGGCAGAAAATTGGGGCAGATTCATGGATCTGTGCAGCTGCAGTGATTGTGTCATGCCTTATGCCACTTGTCTTAGCATATGACCTGAGGTCACACCTAGGTGCACCCTTTGACCCTACTTAAAGCCATTGAGGGGCCATCTCAGTAAGGCAATTATCAAAGTGGCATGTGCTGCTTTACAGAGACTGTCTCTGGCATCTTGTGGAGATGACCCAGCTCTCCTGCAACTTGCACTGCTCTCTGACAATCATTTCTTGCTACTGTCTGTACAGGGAACCTGGGTAAATAGTGCAGTTTATTCCCCAAAGTGGGGAGGAATAAACTTTGGGGATTTTGCTACCAATTCAGATCCTACGTCAATTGGAATTAACATTCTAAAGTAAACAAGTCGTCATTTGTCTTACTTGAATCATCTCTGAGGAGGAAGCACAGGTTCACAGGCTCTAACATGAATTAGTTTTTTCTTGGTTATGATCTGTTCTTTACTGCCTAAAGACTAGGGTTACAGCTCTGAACGTGAGGCAGTTTCTTGTGTGTCCTGTACACTTAAGTACTGTGAGGATAAGACATGAGTATTATAATTTGTTTGTTATTCTTTGGAGAGCCAGTGTAGTACGTAGTGGACAAGAACAATAACCTTGTGGTAGGCTGAGAGTTCAGCAGTTGCTGTCCTAGGCCAAATGTCCTGATTCTTAACCAAGTGAGTGCTAACAAATGCCTATTTTTCAAATTATTTCCTGCAGAGATATAACTAGGCTGCCGACACAGCTTGACTTTGTTCCACTTTTGACTTGACAGGTTGTTCTTGATTTTCTGTCCACCATCAGCACTGCTTAGGGGCTTCTTCCTCTACTGTCTCATGTCAAACAAGTACTCATCTAGCTTGATGATTTATGGAATTTCCTTGTGTTGCTGGGTTGAGGAGAACTGTGTCTTACCTGTGTGTTCTTTTGGCACTTAAGTACATGTTGTTAACACCTTCCAGCTGCTGTCAGTGTTGGTCCTGCATCGGGCAGCAGTCTCAAGTGAAAATAATCATATGCTGTTGGTAACTGCAGAGTTAAGCAACCACAGTAGCAGTATCTCCACCCACATGGCAAACAGAGTTTACAGTCTGATGGTGGTGTCCTTCAGATGGAAGACCAAGGGCTGTGATCCACAATGTCCATAAGCTCTGCTTAAGCGTGGGGGAAATTTTAGAAGATTTTCAGCAGTTTTGTATTTTCTCAATGTTAGAGATAAATTGGATGCAAAGTCATGACACAATCAATATGATTGATATAGACAGTAATTTATCATAGAAACATTAGAAGATACATTTTTGTCACACTTTTGTTTATGGTGTGTGTACATAAGCATGTGTCACTTCTAGGAACTGAAGTTATTGGTAGTACATAGTATGTATTCCATCAGCAAATCGATACCTAATATTTAGAAGTATAATACATTTTCTTCTAATTCTGAATCATTGATAGTTTATTTGGTTGCTTGTCCATTTATACTGGAATGTATTTTCTGGTAAGAAATATTGCTAACCTTGTGAACTGTAGTGTTCCATGCAAAAAATGTAATGTAAATTTATTTGAAAGAGGAAGTTGTTGTTAGTACTTAATATAGTCCTCCTCTTTCTTCCCTTTCATTACTGAGACATAGCATTGTCATTCTGATAAACTCAGGAGTAACTCTGAGGTAGGTAGGTAGGTAGGTAGGTAGGAAGTATGTAACAGACCACTGAGTTTCAATCCTCGGCACAGGATTTTCTGACACTGAAGGCAGGGTGACAGATCAGTCTTCCCCACTGTTATGCTTGCAGTGTTTAATTTGAATTAATTTCCTGTGGCAGTAACTATGTTTCAGCTCTGGCTTGTCTCCGATTCCCAAACGTGCAGCCTGCCAAAGCTCTTGCCATCTGTATTCCCTGTGGAGAGAGCTCTTGAGCCCTTCAGAGAATAAGTTGCAGCCTGTTCCCAAACCTGCTGGCCATAACTCTTGGAGGCTGAGGGCTCACAAGGTGTGCTCTGGCTTCCTTTACAAGCTGCCAGCCCACAGAGTGCCTAGGCTTTGAAATTAGTGGGGTACACCCACCCTGACCTCTGAGTCTTGAACTGAAAAAACATCAGTTTTCAAGAGGAAGAAATTCCCAACAGTATGT